ACCGGGGAACCGGGGAACCGGGAAACCGGGAAACCGGGAAACCGGGAAACCGGGAAACCGGGAAACCGGGAAACCGGGATACCGGGAAACCGGGGAACCGGGAAACCGGGAAACCGGGAAACCGGGATACCGGGAAACCGGGAAACCGGGATACCGGGATACCGGGGGGATACCGGGATACCGGGATACCGGGATACCGGGAAACCGGGAAACCGGGAAACCGGGAAACCGGGATACCGGGAAACCGGGAAACCGGGAAACCGGGAAACCGGGATACCGGGAAACCGGGAAACCGGGATACCGGGATACCGGGGGGATACCGGGATACCGGGAAACCGGGAAACCGGGAAACCGGGATACCGGGATACCGGGAAACCGGGATACCGGGATACCGGGGGGATACCGGGATACCGGGAAACCGGGAAACCGGGAAACCGGGAAACCGGGATACCGGGATACCGGGAAACCGGGAAACCGGGAAACGGGGATACCGGGATACCGGGATACCGGGAAACCGGGAAACCGGGAAACCGGGAAACCGGGAATCCGGGAAACCGGGAAACCGAGAAACCGGGATACCGGGGAACCGGGGAACCGGGAAACCGGGAAACCGGGAAACCGGGATACCGGGGAACCGGGGAACCGGGAAACCGGGAAACCGGGAAACCGGGAAACCGGGAAACCGGGATACCGGGAAACCGGGGAACCGGGAAACCGGGAAACCGGGAAACCGGGATACCGGGAAACCGGGAAACCGGGATACCGGGAAACCGGGATACCGGGATACCGGGATACCGGGAAACCGGGAAACCGGGAAACCGGGAAACCGGGATACCGGGATACCGGGAAACCGGGAAACCGGGAAACCGGGATACCGGGATACCGGGATACCGGGAAACCGGGAAACCGGGAAACCGGGAAACCGGGAAACCGGGAATCCGGGAAACCGGGAAACCGAGAAACCGGGATACCGGGGAACCGGGGAACCGGGAAACCGGGAAACCGGGAAACCGGGATACCGGGGGGATACCGGGATACCGGGAAACCGGGAAACTGGGAAACCGGGAAACCGAGAAACCGGGAAACCGGGAAACCGGGAAACCGGGAAACCGGGAAACCGGGATACCGGGATACCGGGATACCGGGATACCGGGAAACCGGGAAACCGGGATACCGGGAAACCGGGATACCGGGATACCGGGAAACCGGGAAACCGGGAAACCGGGAAACCGGGATACCGAGAAACCGGGATACTGGGATACCGGGATACCGGGATACCCGGAAACCGGGAAACCGGGAAACCGGGATACCGGGATACAGGGAAACCGGGAAACCGGGATACCGGGGTACCGGGAAACCGGGAAACCGGGAAACCGGGAAACCGGGAAACCGGGAAACCGGGAAACCCGGGAAACCGGGAAACCGGGAAACCGGGAAACCGGGAAACCGGGAAACCGGGAAACCGGGATACCGGGATACCGGGAAACCGGGAAACCGGGAAACCGGGATACCGGGATACCGGGAAACCGGGAAACCGGGAAACGGGGATACCGGGATACCGGGATACCGGGATACCGGGAAACAGGGAAACCGGGAAACCGGGAAACCGGGAAACCGGGAATCCGGGAAACCGGGAAACCGAGAAACCGGGATACCGGGGAACCGGGGAACCGGGAAACCGGGAAACCGGGATACCGGGATACCGGGGGGATACCGGGATACCGGGATACCGGGAAACCGGGAAACCGGGAAACCGGGAAACCAGGAAACCGGGAAACCGGGATACCGGGATACCGGGAAACCGGGAAACCGGGAAACCGGGAAACCGGGATACCGGGAAACCGGGAAACCGGGATACCGGGATACCGGGATACCGGGGGGATACCGGGATACCGGGAAACCGGGAAACCGGGAAACCGGGAAACCGGGATACCGGGATACCGGGAAACCGGGAAACCGGGAAACTGGGATACCGGGATACCGGGATACCGGGATACCGGGAAACCGGGAAACCGGGAAACCGGGAAACCGGGAAACCGGGAATCCGGGAAACCGGGAAACCGAGAAACCGGGATACCGGGGAACCGGGGAACCGGGAAACCGGGAAACCGGGAAACCGGGAAACCGGGATACCGGGAAACCGGGAAACCGGGATACCGGGATACCGGGGGGATACCGGGATACCGGGAAGCCGGGAAACCGGGAAACCGGGATACCGGGATACGGGGATACCGGGAAACCGGGAAACTGGGATACCGGGATACCGGGATACCGGGAAACCGGGAAACCGGGAAACCGGGAATCCGGGAATCCGGGAATCCGGGAAACCGGGAAACCGAGAAACCGGGATACCGGGGAACCGGGGAACCGGGGAACCGGGAAACCGGGAAACCGGGATACCGGGAAACCGGGAAACCGGGATACCGGGATACCGGGGGGATACCGGGATACCGGGAAACCGGGAAACCGGGAAACCGGGAAACCGGGAAACCGGGATACCGGGGAACCGGGGAACCGGGAAACCGGGAAACCGGGAAACCGGGAAACCGGGAAACCGGGAAACCGGGAAACCGGGATACCGGGAAACCGGGGAACCGGGAAACCGGGAAACCGGGAAACCGGGAAACCGGGATACCGGGAAACCGGGAAACCGGGATACCGGGATACCGGGGGGATACCGGGATACCGGGAAACCGGGAAACCGGGAAACCGGGATACCGGGATACCGGGAAACCGGGAAACCGGGAAACTGGGATACCGGGATACCGGGATACCGGGATACCGGGAAACCGGGAAACCGGGAAACCGGGAAACCGGGAAACCGGGATACCGGGAAACCGGGGAACCGGGAAACCGGGAAACCGGGATACCGGGAAACCGGGAAACCGGGATACCGGGATACCGGGGGGATACCGGGATACCGGGAAACCGGGAATCCGGGAAACCGGGAAACCGGGAAACCGAGAAACCGGGATACCGGGGAACCGGGGAACCGGGAAACCGGGAAACCGGGAAACCGGGATACCGGGAAACCGGGAAACCGGGATACCGGGGGGATACCGGGATACCGGGAAACCGGGAAACCGGGATACCGGGATACCGGGGAACCGGGGAACCGGGGAACCGGGAAACCGGGAAACCGGGAAACCGGGAAACCGGGAAACCGGGAAACCGGGAAACCGGGAAACCGGGATACCGGGAAACCGGGGAACCGGGAAACCGGGAAACCGGGAAACCGGGATACCGGGAAACCGGGAAACCGGGATACCGGGATACCGGGGGGATACCGGGATACCGGGAAACCGGGAAACCGGGAAACCGGGAAACCGGGATACCGGGATACCGGGAAACCGGGAAACCGGGAAACCGGGATACCGGGAAACCGGGATACCGGGAAACCGGGAAACCGGGAAACCGGGATACCGGGAAACCGGGAAACCGGGAAACCGGGAATCCGGGAAACCGGGAAACCGAGAAACCGGGATACCGGGGAACCGGGGAACCGGGAAACCGGGAAACCGGGAAACCGGGATACCGGGAAACCGGGAAACCGGGAAACCGGGATACCGGGGGGATACCGGGATACCGGGAAACCGGGAAACCGGGAAACCGGGAAACCGGGAAACCGGGAAACCGGGAAACCGGGATACCGGGAAACCGGGGAACCGGGAAACCGGGAAACCGGGAAACCGGGATACCGGGAAACCGGGAAACCGGGAAACCGGGAAACCGGGGGGATACCGGGATACCGGGAAACCGGGAAACCGGGAAACCGGGAAACCGGGATACCGGGATACCGGGAAACCGGGAAACCGGGAAACCGGGATACCGGGATACCGGGATACCGGGAAACCGGGAAACCGGGAAACCGGGAAACCGGGAATCCGGGAATCCGGGAAACCGGGAAACCGAGAAACCGGGATACCGGGGAACCGGGGAACCGGGAAACCGGGAAACCGGGAAACCGGGATACCGGGAAACCGGGAAACCGGGAAACCGGGATACCGGGGGGATACCGGGATACCGGGAAACCGGGAAACCGGGAAACTGGGAAACCGGGAAACCGGGGGGATACCGGGATACCGGGATACCGGGATACCGGGAAACCGGGAAACCGGGAAACCGGGAAACCGGGAAACCGGGAAACCGGGAAACCGAGAAACCGGGAAACCGGGAAACCGGGAAACCGGGAAACCGGGATACCGGGATACTGGGATACCGGGAAACCGGGAAACCGGGATACCGGGAAACCGGGAAACCGGGAAACCGGGATACCGAGAAACCGGGATACCGGGATACCGGGATACCGGGATACCCGGAAACCGGGAAACCGGGATACCGGGATACAGGGAAACCGGGAAACCGGGATACCGGGGTACCGGGAAACCGGGAAACCGGGAAACCGGGAAACCGGGAAACCGGGAAACCGGGAAACCGGGAAACCGGGAAACCCGGGAAACCGGGAAACCGGGAAACCGGGAAACCGGGAAACCGGGAAACCGGGAAACCGGGATACCGGGATACCGGGAAACCGGGAAACCGGGAAACCGGGATACCGGGATACCGGGAAACCGGGAAACCGGGAAACCGGGATACCGGGATACCGGGATACCGGGATACCGGGAAACCGGGAAACCGGGAAACCGGGAAACCGGGAAACCGGGAATCCGGGAAACCGGGAAACCGAGAAACCGGGATACCGGGGAACCGGGGAACCGGGAAACCGGGAAACCGGGAAACCGGGATACCGGGAAACCGGGAAACCGGGTAACCGGGAAACCGGGAAACCGGAATCTTGGGAAACCGGGAAACCGGGAAACAGGGAAACCGGGATACCGGGATACCGGGAAACCGGAAAACCGGGAAACCGGGAAACCGGGATACCGGGAAACCGGGATACCGGGATACCGGGATACTGGGAAACCGGGAAACCGGGAAACTGGGAAACCGGGATGCCGGGAAACCGGGAAACCGGGAAATTGATACCAGAACAAATGCACTCATCTGCAAAGTGAGGGGATGTGAGCAGATGAGAGAAGGGGAGGGTTGAGGGAGCAGAGACAAAGGGGAAGAGAGTGACTCACGATTCTGGAGAAGAGGCTTTCGAAGCACCAGAAGGCGTCGGCGGGGTGCGGGAAGAGGATGATGAAGGGAGATAGCAGGTCGCACATGCCTGCATGCATGCAGGGTGGAGGGGCAGCAGATGGGATATGGTACATGGTGGGATGGATAAGGCGTCTGTGGGGTGTGGGAAGAGGATGATGAAGGGAGATAGCAGGTCGCACATGCCTGCATGCATGCAGGGTGGAGGGCAGAAGGTGGTAGGATGGGCGTGCAATGGCACATATAATGGGATATATGCAAGCAAGAGCAGAGATGGCACAAGATCACGGAAGGCGACTGCATGTCACAGATGCAGGGGCACATGGTGAGATGGCACACAGTGGGCAGAAAGAAGTCATCTGGGCTGATATTCGCATGTGCTTTCAAGCCAGTGCTACACGCCGTACCAGCCCACTCCATACCTTGACAGAAGTCAGTGGCGGGGTCGATCCACGCGTGCACGGCCAGGATGTCACTCATGGCTGCCAGGTTGCGCTAGTCTTACTTGCCAATGGCATCACAGCTCACCTTGACAGAGCAATGTTCCCTTGGTGTTTTCACGCCGTACCTTGACAGAAGCCAGTGGCGGGGTCGATCCACGCGTGCACGGCCAGGATGTCACTCATGGCTGCCAGGTTGCTGCGATCCGCGTAGAACGCCATGTGGCGATCCGTGCGCTCCACGTCCACGGCTGGGAGGGGGGGCGGAGGGGAGAGAGGGGAGGGAGCAGGGGTGGAAGCGCGGAGTGAGCAGCTGGGTATAAGAGAGTGATCCAGGTTGCTGCGAACCTACGTTGGCAGATACGCCCTGGGCAGGGTTGCGTACCACGTATATACGCTTGCGTATATACGTGGTACGCTAATACGCTCGTATTTCTTGGAAATACGCCCGGGCAGCCCGCCGGGAAAAAAAATTTGAAATTGAAAATTTTCGCGAAGGTTTTGCGACTTCGCGATTTGTTACCGCGCAGTCGCATATCGCCCAACCCACTTCTGAAATTCAAATTTCGAGCTCCAAACCTCTCACCACCCCAACCACACACCACCCCATCAAACCTCTCATCTCCAACCATCCCTCTCAAATGTTGTTCACCAACTCGTCTGCTCATATACTGTATGACGAGTTCCTTTGTGTCATTCAGTTTCCGTGGTCGTTTTCATTCCCGTAGCTCTCTTCTCCCGTTTTTCCTCATGGCGTCTAACTCCACCTCTCCTGCTGCGACGAGCAATGTTGCCTCTGTTCACGCGTCTACTAGCGAAATCAATAAGGAGCCTGTTGAGGCTGGCCTTTCGAACCCCATTTTGAAACATTTCCTTGTTCCGTACCATACCAAAGGCACTCCCAAGATGTGTAAGTTTTGTGACTTCACGTTTGAGGGCGGAACCACTCGCTGCGCGGTTCACCTGGCGAAATGGAAAGGGCAGGAGAAACGCGCTGTCCCCCCCTGAAACAGGTTTTTTAGCCCTGCCCGGGAAAAAAGTTTTACCTGCCCGCCCAGCGTATTTTTACGTATCACCAGTACGCCACCCCTAGCGTACCGCGTCTATACCCAGCGTATAATACGCTAGCGTATTATACGTGATACTCGTATCTGCCAACGTAGCTGCGAACCGCGTAGAACGCCATGTGCCTGTCTGTGCGCTCCACGTCCACCGCTGGGGGGGAAGGACGGCAGGGGCAGGGGAGGGGGCGGGAGGTGGAAGGGTTGAAGAGCTATTGGGTATAAGAGAGGGAGTTGGGTATGAGGAGAGTGATCCAGGTTGCTGCGATCCGCATAGAACGCCATGTGCCTGTCTGTGCGCTCCACATCCACCGCTGGAAGGTGGGTAGGGGAGGGGGGAAGAAATGGGGAAACGAGCCTAAATGTGGCGCGTTTATGAAGTGAAGGCCATGTGGCAGTTGGTGCACTCAACATCCACCTCTTAGGAGAGGAGGGGAGAGGAGAGGGGGAAAGGAAGGGTGTAAGAGGGGAGAGGAAACGAACACGACTCGCATATCTCATCCCACTCACATATCTCATCCCACTCGCATATCTTATCCCACTCGCATACTGTATCCCACTCACATATCTCATCCCACTCACATATCTCATCCCACTCACATTTCCTACCAAACTCACATATCTTATGCAGCGTCCACAGCCACTCCGCCACCCTCTCAGGAGTCACCCCCAGCTGCTCTGCCACCACCGGATCGACCGTCAACCGCGCATCGCCCCCCTCCTCCTCCTCCTCCTCCTCCTCCCCCTCCTTCCCCTCCCCACCTCCCTCCTTTCCTCCCGCCCCCTCCCCCGCACCACCCTTCCCCGCGCCCCCATCGCCTCCCCCATCGCCATTACCCCCACCAGCACCACCGCCACCGCACCCCCCGTCGCCATCACCCCCCCCATCCCCATCCCCATCACCACCACCATGGGCACCACCATCCCCATCCCCAGCACCATCGGCATCATCATCATGGCCCAGGATCCACGACCACACCTGCTCCGCGGTGGGGTGAGGGGAAGAGGGGGGGGAAGGGAGCAGGGCAGAGGAGAAGGCATAGGTGAGGGGGTGCAGCAACTACATCAGTTCCCCACCATCCCCATCCCCGCCACCACCATCAGCATCAGCATCAGCATCAGCATCAGCAGCATCAGCATCAGCATCAGCATCATCATCAGCATCAGCATCAGCATCATCATCAGCATCAGCATCAGCATCATCATCATCATCAGCATCAGCATCATCATCATCATCATCATACCCAGGATCCACGACCACACCTGCTCCGCAGTGGGGTTGCGGCCGTTGAACGACCGCTGCCGCACATACGCCTGCAGGATGCTGCCCCCCCGCTTCTCCCCCCCTCCTGCCCCGTCGCTCCCCTCACTCTTCTCGCTCCTCTCGCTCCACTCGCTCCTCGCGCTGCCCACAAACGGCCCAGTTTTCTCCACCCCTCCTCCTCCCCCTCTCTCCCCTCCTCCTCCCCCTCTCTCCCCTCCTCCTCCTGCTGCTTCTTCCCTCCTTTGCCGTCCCTCACCCTCAGCACTGAGGGCTCTGCCTGCAGCGCAAGGGCCCTCCTCTTCCCCCTCTTCCGCCTCCTCCTCTTCTTCCTCTGCCCGCACAGCCCTCTCGCGCCCCTCCTCTTTCCTCCTCTCCTCTCTCTTCGTCTCCTCCCCTCGCCGTTCTCTCCTCTCTGCTTCACCACCGTCTGCCTCTCTTGCTGCTGCACCTGCTCCTCCTCCTCCTCCTGCTGCTCCTTCACGGAAGCTTCCTCCGCCGCCCACGAATCCAAGCCCCCAGCCATCCCCAGACGCTGCTGCTGGCCCCCCTCCGCGCTGCCCCCGCCCTGCTCTGACCTCCGCCCCTCCCCCACTCCTCGCTCCGCCTTCCGCCTCCCCCCTCCTCTCCCGCTCCTCTCCCTCATCGTCCTCCTCTTCCTCCTCTAACTCCCACCCTGCCTCCCTCCGCCCCGACCCTCCGACCCGTTGCTTCCTGTGTGGACCACCCTCCTCTGTACCAGCCCTGCGCCCCTCCCACTCCGCTGCACCCACCACTTGCCACTCACCCTCCTCCCTCTCCCCCTCCCCCTCCTCCCCCTCGTCCCCCTCCCCCTCCACCCGCTCCGAAACACTCCCCAGCTCCCCTCCCGCCTCCCCCTTGCCCCGGCGCCGCTCCCCCCACACACCACCGCCGCCACCACTGCTCGCACTACCACCATCCCCTGCACTCCCCATCCGATTCCCTTTTGGAATCCCAGCCGCACTTGCTATGCTGCCGCTGCCGCTGCCACTACTGCCGGCGCTGGCAGCATTAATAGCGGCAGTGGCAGTGCCGACACCGCTGACAGAGCTGGCAGTGGCAGTGGTGGGATTGCTGGCATTGCTGGCCGCGGCATTGCTGGCGGGGGTGGCAGAGGAGTGGGTGGGGGCGCGGATGGAAGCAAGGAGATCGTCTACAGACACACCCCCCCAATCAGCACTCAGAACCTTCTTCAGCCGGTTTCCCCCCGCCATCAAACCCCTCTGAATTCCCCCCATCCCCCCTCCCAACCCCCCCAGCCCTCCCCCTCCCGCTCCCGTTCCCACTCCCGCTCTCCCCACACCCACACCCCCCGCACCCCCCACACCCACAGCACCCGCCCCCTCCCGCGCTGCTCCCCCCGCCCTCGCTCCCCGCTCGCCCCCCTCGCCCCCGTCCCCGCTTTCCACATGCCCCTCCTCCCCCCCTGCGCTCTCCCCTGCACCCAAGTACCCCCGCAGTTTCTTATGTGCCTTCTTCACACTTTTCACTCCCCTCTGCCACGGCCCCTTGCCCTCTCCCCCTGCTCCCCCGCCCATCCCCCCTTCCCCTCCGCCTCCTCCCCCTGCAGAACCCTCCTCCTCTGCGCCGATCCCCCCACCCTCCTCTTCTTCCTCCACCTCGCCTCCTTGCTCTATAACGAGGACGTCTGGGTCCAGCAGGGCGTTGCCACTAACGGATCCAACACCTGTCAGCAACCGACCCTTCCCCTCCTTAGCCTCCCTCCCCTCCCTACCGTCCTTCCCTTCCTTCCCTTCCTTCCCCTCCTTCCCCTCCTTGCCCTCCTTCCCCTTACCCGGCAACAGTCTGGTCCATTTCTTCTTGCCCTTGCGCCGCTGCCCCTCTCCACCCACCCCATCATCCGGGCAGCTCCCCTCCCCCTCCTCCCCGCCTGCTGCTTGCCACACTGCTGCATCTGCCCCTGCTGCAGCATCTGCATTTCCAGCACCATCAGCACCAGCGGCACCGCCTGTGCCATCAGCACCTGCTGCGCTGTCACACTCGCCTGAAGTTCTGGTTGTACCTGTGCCGCGTGACTGTGTATTCTCAGAAGCACCAGCAGAGGCACCAGCAGCAGCAGCAGCGGGCGCAGCAGCGGCAGCACGAGCAGCATGAGGGGGTGCAGGGAGGGGTTCCTCCGTGCGAGCACTGCGGGCGCGTGTGAGGGGCGCCTCTGCACCCGCCGCCGCTCCCACTGCCCCTCGCCCAACCAGCGACCCCACATCTGTGCTGCGCGTGCGCTGTGACCTGCTGCTCTCCCGCACCCCTGCTGCTCCCACCCCACTCACCCCACCCCCTGCCACCCCACCTCCTCCTCCTCCTACTCCTGCCCCTGCCAACCCTTCTCCATGTCTCAACCCTCCCCCCCCCCTGCTGCCACCGCCACCGCTGGCCCTGGCATGCGGGGGGTGTGAGTGGTCTACCCTCTCATACCGCCTCTGCCTCTCCCGCGCCCACTTAGCCCTCATCTCCTCCATCCCCCCCTTCTCCCCCTTCCCTCCCGCCCCCTCACCTCCCCCTCCCCAACTCCCCCTCACTCCTCCCCTTACACTTGCACCTCCCTCCGTCCGTTTTCTCCCCTTCGCCTTCCTCTTTTCGTGCCCCACTCCCACACCCCCTTCTCCTTCCTTCTCCCCATCCTCCCCCTCCTCTCCCTCCCCATCCTCCCCATCCCCCTCCTCATCCTCCTCATCATCCTCCTCCTCCTCGTCCTCCTCGCCCCCCCCACCACCAAGCAGCGCGCGGGGGTCTTCAAGGTCAAGCAGGTCAAGGGCGAAGGATAAGGAAGAGGAGTGCAGGCGAGGCCCGCCCTCCTCCATCAGCTGCTCCATGCGGAACGCCGGGGTGCCGCCGCTGCCCGCGCTCTTGTCTGAGAACTGGCGCGGGAACTTGTCTGCTGCTGAGCTTGAGGAGCCACTGCGTGGCCGAGGCAGCACGATGCTGCTGCTGGTGCCAGCGCCGCCGCTGTTGCTGGTGGTGGTGGTGGGAGTGGGGGTGCTGGTGAGGGAGTTGGTGACGCCGCTGCTGCTGCTGATGGCCGTGGTGGAGGGAGTGGAAATTCTGCCGCTGCTGCTGCCGCTACCCGGTCTGCTAATGCTGCTGCTCGTGCTGCTACCCGGAATGCCCGTGGCGCTGCTGCTGGCAGTGGTGGTGCTTGTGGTAGTGGTGGTGGTGGTAGTAGTGGTGGTGGTGTTACCAGCAGCCACTGTGACTAACGTGGTTGTCACGCTGCTCTGCCTGAAGCTGTCCTCCTCTGCGCCCCTGCCGTCCCTACCAATGCCGCCCCGCCCACCGCCATCCATACCACTGCCAGCATCACCAGCAGCGGCGGCGGCAGTGGCAGCAGCAGGAGCGGTAGAATCCGCAGTGGCGGCGGCGGCGGCGGCGGCGGCAGGGTGGGAGGAGGCTTGGGCGGTGAGGATGCGGACGTCCATGATGCGCGAGCCCACGGGGAAGGCGAGCTGTCCCGTGCCCACCCGCCCGTGCATGCGCGCGCACTGCTGCACCAACTGCTCGTACCGCTCCCTGCGAGTCAGACACAGGGAGGGGAGGGAAGGGGGAGTGGTCACTTGGGTGTTTAGGGGCTGCCCCGTGCCCACCCGCCCGTGCATGCGCGCACACTGCTGCACCAACTGCTCGTACCGCTCCCTGCGAGTCAGACACAGGGAGGGGAGGGAAGGGGGAGTGGTCACTTGGGTGTTTAGGGGCTGCCCCGTGCCCACCCGCCCGTGCATGCGCGCACACTGCTGCACCAACTGCTCGTACCGCTCCCTGCGAGTCAGACACAGGGAGGGGAGGGAAGGGGGAGTGGTCACTTGGGTGTTTAGGGGCTGCCCCGTGCCCACCCGCCCGTGCATGCGCGCACACTGCTGCACCAGCTGCTCATACCGCTCCCTGATTGGGGTTTGGCAGCAGGGAGGAAGTGGTAAAGGGAGGGAAAGGGGAGTCTTCACTTGGGTGTATGGGGCGCTGCAGGAGAGAGGTAGAGGGGGACATGGTGTGTCCATGTGGGTTTTGTGACGTCTCATAACTGTGTGCAAGTGTGTGCGAGTGGGGCAGCATGCACTCACTGGCGGGCGGCAGTGACTCACTGGCGGGCGGCAGTGACTCACCGGCGGGCGGCGCGCACGTAGTTGCGCTCTTCAGCGGTGGAGTCGAGGGAGAAGCACCCCAGCAGGAACTCCCACACCTCCCCTCGTATCGACCGGTCCACCCCCTGTATGCAACACGCACACATGCACGTGCCACACACATGCCAGGCACGCGCCAGGCACACGCCAGACACACGCCAGGCACGCGCCAGGCACACGCCAGACACACGCCAGGCAAGCACCACCCAACCACGCACCAGGCACAGAGAAAGGAGGAGAGCATGTAGGAAGGACACAGCAGTTGGCATTGGCACCAGCTGCGTGCTGCTGCCACACAGACAGCAGTTGGCATTGGAACGGCACTCGCAGCACTCATTTGTGTTCCGCTCATGCTCATCTGACACAAACCACTGGCGCCTGCCAATTCCACTCAACGCTTGGAATCCACATCACTGTAGCCCAGACCTTGACCAAGCAAGCACTACCGTTGAATCATATCTCGTTACAAGAGAAATCTGCTAGTCTCCATTTTCCCCTTCACCACGCAGACACTCCCATCCTCTCCCTCTCTCCCGTACCCCCCTTCCTCTCTGCCCACCTTTACCCGCACGCAAAACAGCCCCATTTTCTCCTCCCCACTCCCCTCTTCCCCCCCCTTCTGTCTCCTCTCACCCCAATAAGTATGACGGACATGTGCACTAGACACACTTTTTCAGGCGCCTGAAAAAACACCTTTCCCCTTAACCCCTGCTTTTCCCCCGCTCCACCTTTCCTCTCCTCTCCGCCCCACCCCCCAACCCCCGTTTCCTTCTCCCCCCCCACCTTATCTCCCTTCCCTCCCTCCGTCTCACCCCGTCCAGCACGGCGCACAGCACGGCGGACATACGCACGAGACGGGGGACGCCCGTGCCTTCCTACTGTCCCGCCCGCTCCCCCCTTCTTCCCCCCATTCTCACCCCGTCCAGCACGGCGCGCAGCACGGCGGGCATGCGCACCAGACGCCCCTCCGCGTCGAACGCCGCTCGCCACGCGCGCGGCTTTAGACGCCGTGCCCGCCCCGCCTGCATGGGGGAACCAGTGGCGGAGAGAGGCGCGGGGAAGAAGGTGCGGGGGAGGGAGGTTGGGGAGAGAGGCGCGGGAATGTGATGCATCGCGGAGGCGAAGGCAATGCGGCGGCTGGAGGAAGGGCGGAATGGAAGAGGAATCAGGGTAGGGGGAAGAAGGGAGGGGTGGGTGGGGGCATGGGAAGCTTCAGGGCTTTTCAATGCGAGGCGCGAGGCGCGGCGTAGCGCGCAGCACTTACCTGCGCGTTCCATGGTGCGCCGTGCTGCTGCTGCCGCGCGTCCGCGGAGATCCAGCTGCCGTCCTTCATGCTCGTCGGCGGCTTCTCCGCGCGCCCATGGCTCCGCCCCTCTCCGCTCGACTTCTCCGCGCGGCCGAGTACCTTCCCCTCGCCGCCCGGCTTCTCCGCGCGCCCCCCAAGCCCCTTCACCTCGCCGCCGTGCCCCTGGCCGTGCGACGATGGCGGGCGAAACGCCATCGCACGGCGCGACTATCAGCGAAAAGCTTCGCAGATGTAGCTATCAATGCGACTCGCATGGGGTTTTCCTGTCTGCGCGTGCAGCGGTACCGCGACGACTCGGAACGAAAATGCGTCGAGCGGGCGACAGTGTGCGACTTGGAACTGCAATGCGACGAACGAAACGACCTGGTTACCACTCCATCTAACCGATTCGATGCATCACATGCCTGCATTACATCCCCACGTGCTGTAGACAATGCGCGCTGTGCGGTTTATCCCTCTACGGCTGGCATTGTTCATAAGATGTAAAAAATCGCGAGAAGTGCCGCGTCCGACAAATGGGCTATTACGTGCTCGCTACAACGCTACTCCGTTGAGTTGTGCAGCCTCCGAAGGCGAGTGAGCAAAACGCGCGAGCGAGGCAGAGCGTCCTGATGAGTCGACCTATCAACGCGAGGAAAGCCTCGGATTACGACGATAAGACACCGAAGCTGCCCTGTTTGAAACGAGCAGTTTCTACCTCCATTCCCTTTTGCTCACAGCTGAGAAATGTATGGATTAAAAAAACGACTGCAGAGTGAAATGTGTTGATAAGGCTAGGCGCAATGCAAGAGCAAAGGAGCAGACAAGCAGCAGTTGTCCTCAGAGCAGGTGGTGCCTGCGTGCGTACGGACAGACTGAACTGACGGAAGGCAGCAGCAGCAGCAGCAGTGAGTGGGAGATCAGTCCAGTAGGCCACCAGCAAGGACGCCCCACGACTGCTGCTGCAGCCATGTGGGGGGGAGGAGGAAGGACACTGATTGAGCAGGACTGCACAGTTACAAACGAGGTTGGTTGGTGGGCTCTGTTGGCGGGTGCTGCACTATATCTTCGTTACCACATATTGATCATCAAATTCTTTCACTAATGTTGACAATCTACATAGACTTACGGCATTGGGTTTAGCAACCTGTTTCTCTAGAACCTGTTGCCATCAACATTCCAATAATTTTCTCTATAACCTGTTGCTTTGCTTTTCTTTCAAAGATAAATTTCGAAAGAATCTCTGCATACGTCTCATTTCTAATATATCATTATTTCATTAGAAAAAGGCGTCTGAAATGGAGAGATAAGGATGGGAAACCAAGCGGAGACATAGCGGAGACCCTTATAAGTAGTCAATTCTGGAAGCATTTTCCGAAGGGTGAATGAACACTAAAGCACAGATTCATGCCTCACGTGAACATCGCTCACTGATGATAAGCAGATCGTCGACCATAGACGACAGACCCTACATATGTCCATACATATACGCATATAATCCTGTCGAATGCTGGTGACTGATCGGCATTATCGACCCGCGCTTTCTTGTTGCGAGTGAATCGAACTTCGCTGAAACCAAACTTGTTTTCTCGGCTGGCCCTGCGAGTGAAACGAACTTCGCAGTCGCAGTGTGGTCGCGATGCTGGTGGATCTGAACGCGTTCGCCGACGAGCACTTCGACCCCAAGGCGTGGGTCAACGATGCGTGCGCTGCGCTCCCGCCGGAGGAACCTCCGGAGAAGTTTCTCGCGGACATTGAAATGAAGCTGCAGCTCTTATCGGGTATATGCTGCGAGTGTGCAGAGAACATGGGCGGAGCGTTGGAGGAGCAGAGTGCGGGCGCGCTGCTGAGGGTGCCGCGTGCTGTGAGGGAATAGGTCACATGCTTCGTCCTTGCTACCAACTCCTTCACACGTGTGTATGCTGCGTGTGTGCTGTGTGTGTCCTGCGTGTGTGCTACACGCGTGCAGAGGACATGGGCGGCGCGTTGGAGGAGCAGAGCGCGGGCGCGCTGCTGAGAGTGCCGCGCGCCGTGAGGGAGACGAAGCGCGTGCGCGATGATGCTGTGTCGCTCAAAGGCACCGTCGCCAGCATCCTGCAGCGCCTGCAGCAGGTGGGGGGGACGGGGGGGGGGAAATAGAGGGGGGAGGCGGAGGTGGGGGGGGAAGGTGGGACAGGCAGGAGCAGGGAGGGTCAGGGAGGGCAATGTCGCTCAGAGGCACCGTCGCCAGCATCCTGCAGCGCCTGCAGCAGGTGCGTGGGGGTGAGGGGAGGGGAGGGGGGGTGAAGTAGATGGGGGGAAGGCGGGGTGAAAGTGGGACAGGCAGGAGCAGGGGGGGTCAGGGAGGGCAATATCTCGGCACCGTCGCCAGCATCCTGCAGCGCCTGCAACAGGTGGGAGGGGGAGGAGAGGGGAGGGGGGGGGGAGGAAGGGCAGGCAGGTTCAGGGGGGATTAGGCGGTGCAATGTCGCTCAGAGGCACCGTCGCCAGCATCTTGCAGCGCCTGCAGCAGGTGGAGGGAGGAGCTGGGAAGGAGGGGGTTAGTGTGCGCAGGAGGGGAACGGCAGGCAGGTTCGAGGGGAATCAGGGGGGAAGGGGGAGGAGGTGGGTGGGAGAGGGGGGTGGGGGGGGGAAATGGGGCGGGGGGAGTTTGCAGAGCTGGATGGGGATTCATACACGAGCATACATGCATGCGAATATATTTAAACTTGTGTCCATGTGTGTACGTGTCTTCCCTTATGCTGAGCTAGATGGGGATTCATACACGAGTATACATGCATTTGAATATATTTAAACTTGTGTCCATGTGTGTACGTGTCTTCCCCTGTGCTGAGCTGGATCAGGTGGAAGCCACGTCAGCAGCCTCAGTGGCGGTGCTGGCGAAGGTGGATGCAGTGAAGCAGCAGATGGAAGCGGCGAGAGACACGCTCCAGGTGAGCAGCAGGTCCTCTCCCCTTCCCCATCCTCTTTCCACCGTCCCTCTCCATCATCCCCCCCTTCCCTCACTCACGGTTGCCTTGGCCCACTCTCCACTCCCCCGTTCCCTCCCCCATCCCCTTCACCCTTCTCCTTCCCCCTCTCCATTTCCCGCTTCCCCCTCTTTCCTTAACCTCTCCACTCCCCCCCTGCCCTTTCCCCCCTCCCCTCCCCATCCCCTCTTGCAACCCACAGTACGCGGCGGGCCTGGCACAGCTGAGTGCGTCAGTGGAGCAGGTGTTCGCCAGTGGGGACCTGCCACGTGTCGCCGAGACACTGGCCAACATGCGGCGCTGCCTGGAGGTGGTCGGCGATGTGAGTCTCCCTCGCACCCGCTTCCCCTCTGTGCCCTCGTGGCCTGTACCCCGTGGCCTGTACCCCGAGCCCTGTACCCCGTGCCCCATGACCTCTGCTGCATACCCCATGCCCCATGGCCATGCCTGCATGTCCAATTGCTTATGCTCCTACCTACTGCATTCAACCCCCACCCTCGTTCTCCCACAATCCCCTTGTTTCTTCCTCTTGCCTTGCACCCCCCTCCCCGCTCGTCCTCCCTGTCATCCTCTCTCTTGTCTCTGCCCCGATCGCCTTGGCACGTCCTCTCTCCCCCTCCCTCCCCGCCCTGGCGACCATCAGGCGCCGGAATTCGCGGCGAACAAGAGGCAGCTGCAGTCGCTGGAGGACCGCCTGGAGTAGATGGGAAGGCCCCTCCCTCACGAGTCACACCCCCCCGGTCATCCTCTCTCCCCTCCCCTCCCAATTTTCCATCAGGCGCCAGAGTTTGCGGCGAACAAGAGGCAGCTGCAGTCGCTGGAGGACCGCCTGGAGCAGATGGTGCAGCCGCGGCTGTCAGACGCACTCACACACAGCAAGGTGGGTCGACATTCATGCACCCCATGAATTTTACCCTTCCGTTCTACCACTGCTATGTGGTGCCAGGCAATGCACTGCTTGCTAACCCTGAACCGCTTTACATCTCTCACCACTTGCCCTCTCTCCCACCATGGCACCACCCACGCCAGTTGGAAGCGTGTCGCTCGCTTACAGGCACCCTGGCAGCCATTGGCCGGCAGCACACAGTGGAAGCTCTTTTCTGCCTCGTGCGCTGCCCTGTTACCCCTCAACTCAACCACCTCTCTTCCATCCACCACCCCTCTCCTATGCCAGTTGGACGCGTGCCGATCGCTGACAGGTATCCTGGCGGCCATAGGGAGACAGCACACAGTGGAGGCTCTCTTCTGCCTCGTGCGCTGCCCTGTTACCCCTCAACTCAACCACCTCTCTTCCATCCACCACCCCTCTCCTATGCCAGTTGGACGCGTGCCGATCGCTGACAGGTATCCTGGCGGCCATAGGGAGACAGCACACAGTGGAGGCTCTCTTCTGCCTCGTGCGCTGCCCTGTTACCCCTCAACTCAACCACCTCTCTTCCATCCACCACCCCTCTCCTATGCCAGTTGGACGCGTGCCGATCGCTGACAGGTATCCTGGCGGCCATAGGGAGACAGCACACAGTGGAGGCTCTCTTCTGCCTCGTGCGCTGCCCTGTTACCCCTCAACTCAACCACCTCTCTTCCATCCACCACCCCTCTCCTATGCCAGTTGGACGCGTGCCGATCGCTGACAGGTATCCTGGCGGCCATAGGGAGACAGCACACAGTGGAGGCTCTCTTCTGCCTCGTGCGCTGCCCTGTTACCCCTCAACTCAACCACCTCTCTTCCATCCACCACCCCTCTCCTATGCCAGTTGGACGCGTGCCGATCGCTGACAGGTATCCTGGCGGCCATAGGGAGACAGCACACAGTGGAGGCTCTCTTCTGCCTCGTGCGCTGCCCTGTTACCCCTCAACTCAACCACCTCTCTTCCATCCACCACCCCTCTCCTATGCCAGTTGGACGCGTGCCGATCGCTGACAGGTATCCTGGCGGCCATAGGGAGACAGCACACAGTGGAGGCTCTCTTCTGCCTCGTGCGCTGCCCTGTTACCCCTCAACTCAACCACCTCTCTTCCATCCACCACCCCTCTCCTATGCCAGTTGGACGCGTGCCGATCGCTGACAGGTATCCTGGCGGCCATAGGGAGACAGCACACAGTGGAGGCTCTCTTCTGCCTCGTGCGCTGCCCTGTTACCCCTCAACCCAAGCACCTCTCTTCCATCCACCCCACCTACCCGCACCAGCTGGACGCGTGTCGCTCGCTCACAGGCATCCTGGCAGCCATAGGCCGGCAGCACACGGTGGAAGCTCTTTTCTGCCTCGTGCGCTGCCGCCCGCTCACACGCCTGTGGGAGCAGTTCGAGGTCACTGCTGTTGCACCTGGCGCAGGTAGGGCGGAAAGGAGGGGCGGAGAGGCAGAGGGATTGGGATGGCAGTGGTCCTTCAGTTCAAGTTGTGAGGTCAAAGCAGCCGCCCACTCACACGCCTCTGGGAGCAGTTCGAGGTCACTGCTGTTGCGCCAGGAGCAGGTAGGGGGTCAGGGGGTGGAAGTGACAGAGGGTTGGAGGGGCAGAGGGGTGGACTGGCGGACATGCTTAATATAGGTTGTGATTTGAGGGCTGTCTCACAAATTATTTCCTCTCCCTCCTGTTCCTGCTTTCCTCCATCCTTCACTCGCCTCCTCTCCTCTGTCATAATCTCATCAATTCTTCTCATCTCCCCTTCCCCAAACCCACTGGCCCTTTCCCCCTCTGCCCTTCTCTTCTCTGCCCCCCCCCCGTTCTCACAGGTCCCTTGGCAGCAGCGTTACAGTTCCCTGAGTGGTTACCGCGTTGGTACGACGAGATGCTACTAGCAGTGGAGCAGGAGGCGTGCTGGTGCGTGGCGACCGCAACTCATTCCTTTCCCTCCCCACGACTCCCACCTTCCCCGGTCCTTTCCCCGTGGTCCCTCAGGCCCGCTAGCAGCAGCGTTACAGTTCCCCGAGTGGTTACCGCGCTGGTACGATGAGATGCTGCTGGCCGTGGAGCAGGAGGCGCGCTGGTGCGTGGCAGCCTTCCCCCACCACGCCTCCCCTCTCCTGCTGCGTCTGCTCACGGCCACATGGGGCGGGCTCGCCTCCAGCTTCACTGCTCGCGTCGATGCTGCTGTGTCTGATGCTGCGCTGTCTGCTCTTGCCGCTGCTGATGCAGGTAGGCAGGGTGGGGGTGGGAAAGCATGAAGCCAGGGGGTGGGGGGGCTGTGGCACCTGCTCACGGCCACGTGGGGGGGGGCTCCTCCAGCTTCACTGCTCGCGTCGATGCTGCTGTGTCTGATGCTGCGCTGTCTGCTCTTGCCGCTTCTGATGCAGGTAGGCAGGGTGGGGGTGGGAAAGCATGAAGCCAGGGGGTGGGGGGGCTGTGGCACCTGCTCACGGCCACGTGGGGGGGGGCTCCTCCAGCTTCACTGCTCGCGTCGATGCTGCTGTGTCTGATGCTGCGCTGTCTGCTCTTGCCGCTGCTGATGCAGGTAGGCAGGGTGGGGGTGGGAAAGCATGAAGCCAGGGGGTGGGGGGGCTGTGGCACCTGCTCACGGCCACGTGGGGGGGGGCTCCTCCAGCTTCACTGCTCGCGTCGATGCTGCTGTGTCTGATGCTGCGCTGTCTGCTCTTGCCGCTGCTGATGCAGGTAGGCAGGGTGGGGGTGGGAAAGCATGAAGCCAGGGGGTGGGGGGGCTGTGGCACCTGCTCACGGCCACGCGGGGGGGGGCTCCTCCAGCTTCACTGCTCGCGTCGATGCTGCTGTGTCTGATGCTGCCCTCGCTGCTCTCTCCGCTGCTGCTGCTGATGCGGGTGAAGCAGGTAAATTGGGGGGTGGGGGAGAATGAAGGCAAGGAGGGGGAAAGAGTGGGGCTGTGCCCTCTGCTACCTGCCTTCCCTCCTCCGCCCTGCAGCATCCCAGTGGCGACCATCCACCCGTCTGACCATCCTGCTCGCCCTGCACGCCACCACCGCCACCGTTGCCCGCATGCTCTCCTCTGAACCACTCCCGTTGCCCTCCTTTTTCTCATGTTCTGCTCTGCCTCCCCTCCCCTACCTGCAGCGTCCCAGTCACGGCCGTCCACCCGCCTGGCACTCCTGCTCGCCCTACACGCCACCACCACCACTTTCGCGCGCAATCTCTCCCGCCTCCTTGCCTCCCTTCCTTCCTCCGCCACCGCCGATGCCACTAAACCATCTTCCTCTGAAAAAAACACACAAGGAGCCACCGCAGCAGCAGCAGGAGGAGGAGGGACAGGAGGAGGAGGCGCAGGGGGAGGAGAGAAAGGCAGCAAGAGCAAGGGCAGGGAGGAGGAGGGGGAGCAAGAGGGAGAGGGGCCTGTGAGTGTGAGCGCCGTGGTGTGGGCAGTGTTCCGCCCCTTGGAGCCCTTCAAGCAGCGCTACGGGGACTATGAGCGTGCCCAGCTGGCGGCCGATCTGGGCGGCATAGATCTCAGACCGGGCGGCGCAGTGAAGCAAGTGGGGCAGCGTGGGCTCGTGCTGGCAGATGCTGTGCGGCGCATGGAGGTGAGAGGCGGTGCTGTGCGGTGCATGGTGGTGAGACGGGTACTGGGAGGGGCATGGAGGTGAGAGGGGTGCTAGGAGGGGATGTGAGAGCGGTGCTGTGCGGTGCATGGCGGTGAGAGAGATGCTGGGAGACGCTCCTCAACCACCTATCCCATGCTGCTTGCTCCCTCTTCGCATCACCTCTCTTCTCCTTCTCCCCTCCTCTACCCCCTTCGTCCCCTCAACTCCTCCAGCAGCCATGGCAGCACTCGCAGCAGTAGTGGAGCGCTGTCTCGCATTCACAGGGGGCTCAGCAGTGTTGCTCACCGCTCTCAACCACTCCCTCCTCTTCGTCCCTTCTTTCTTACCCGCCCCACTACGCCCTCCCCAACCCCTCCACAGGCGGCCATCCCAGCAGCCATGGCAGCACTAGAAGCAGCAGTGGAGCGTTGTCTCGCCTTCACAGGGGGCTCAGAGGCAGCAGCGCTCCTCACCGCTCTCGACCACTCCATCCTCCTCTTCCTCTCCCGCCTCTCCTCCTGCCTCCAATCCCTCCCCCCCATCTGCGGCCTCTCCCCTCCCCCTCCTCCTCCCCCCACTTCCTCCGCCACTCCTTCCGCTCCAACCCGAGCCTCCGGCCCAGGCTCGGACCGAACCAACCCAGTCTCAGACGATCCGTTAGCCAGTCTACCGGACCCCGCAGGGTACGGAGCAGGGGGGGCAGGGGGAGTGGAGGAGGAGGAGGAGTGGGCAGTGGTACAGGGCGCCCTGCAACTGCTGATGGTAGCAGAGAGTGTGGCAGTGCGCGTGGCAGTGTTTGAAGCATCCCTCCGCAGTGCCCTCACCCAGCTCTCCCCCCGCCTGGGGCTGGATGCTGGGGGCGATAGCGCAGGGGAAGGGGGAGGGGAGGGCGCGGGAGGGGAGGTGAAGCGGGTGGGATCGGTTGGTGGCGCAGGGGGAGGGGGAGGCGCAGGGGGAGGGGGAGCGGGAGGGGGAGGGGGAGCAGAGGGGAGTGAGGTGGATGTGGCGGTGCTGAGACTGGCGGAGTATCCCGACAAGGCACAGCGTCTTACTAGGTGCAGCGTGATGGGGTGAAGGGATAGTGGGCCATGTGGTGACAGCAGTGCAAGGCTTGAATGTGCTTTCAATACAGCACGAAAATGACCACGTGGTCATTCGGGCCTGCCTCCATAACTGTTGCCTGCCCCCTCTTGCCCTCCCCCCGTTCCCCCCTTCCTCCTTCCCGCCAATGGATGTGCACGTGCCCTCATCAGGCTGCTGGACGAGCTCAGGGAGTTGTCAATAACCCCAATAAGGCCCTGGTCGCCCTCTTCTCTTCCTGTCCCCAACCCCTCCCCCTACTCCCCATCACTGTGCACGTGCCCTCATCAGGCTGCTGGACGAGCTCAGGGAGTTGTCAATAACCCCAATAAGGCCCTGGTCGCCCTCTTCTCTTCCTGTCCCCAACCCCTCCCCCTACTCCCCATGACTGTGCACGTGCCCTCATCAGGCTGCTGGACGAGCTCAGGGAGTTGTCAATAACCCCAATAAGGCCCTGGTCGCCCTCTTCTCTTCCTGTCCCCAACCCCTCCCCCTACTCCCCATGACTGTGCACGTGCCCTCATCAGGCTGCTGGACGAGCTCAGGGAATTGTGACTTGATTCAAGAAGCCCCTGGTCGCCCTCATCCCCATGGCTCCGCCCTCCCCCTCATGGATGTGCACCTGCCCTCATCAGGCTGCTGGACGAGCTCAGGGACCCGCGCATCCACGCGCTCCCGCGCACGGCGCAGCGAGTGAGAAGCTTCCAGGAAGCAGTGTCATCGTTGGTGTACGACGTGCTCATTGCCAAGGTGCGACCATCCCCGCCTCGTGCTCATTTCCCATCACCAACTCTCCTCCCCCCCTTACCCCACTCTCTGTCCTCGCCTTCTTTGCTCGACCCCCACTTTCTCTCCTCACCCTCCACTCCCTCCTCCCTTCCCTCGCTCTCTCCTCCCTCATTGCTGGTGCACGATGTGCTCAATGCTCATTGGCTCTCCTATGAGCACATCGTCCAATGACTGCGATCGTCCCTCTGTGCTCTCGCTCACTCGCTCGCTCTCCCCACTCCCCTCACTCGCCCCGCTACCCTCACTCTCCCTGCTACCCGCAATCTCCCCATTTCCCTCACTTTCTTTGCACGCTTCATTGTCTTCCCTTTCCTCGATTTCCTTCCTCTCAACAATTGTGTTCCTCCATGCTGCTGCAACACTCCGCCCTGCACTCGTCTCATCACCTACTTCCTCGCTTGCCTCGTTCCCCCTTTTCTTATATCCATCCCTGTGCCTCTCGCGCCCCCACCTTGCAGGTGCGGCGGCAGCTGGCGGGGGTATCCACGATGCCGGACTGGGCATTGGGTGAGGAGGAGAACGTGTTTGACCTACCAGCCTTCAATGCATATGCTCTACCATACATCACGGCCGTGGGAGAATACCTCCTCACTCTCCCGCAGCAACTCGAGCCTCTCGCCGTTGCTGCCTCCGAAGCTGCCCCGAGCCTGCTCCTGCAAGCCTCGGCAAGCGGTGCGTCGGCGGGCGGGGAATCCGCGACTCCGACCGCAGCAGGGGAGGAGGATGCGGGGGCATATTTCGTCCGTGAGTGGATGACAAAGGTTGCTGACGGGGCGACATCTCTATTCCTTGAGCAAATTCGGGCGATTCCCGAGGTTTCGGACCGGGGGGCACAGCAGCTAGCAGCAGACATAGAGTATCTGTGCAGTGTACTGTCTGTGCTGTATGTGGCTGCATCGCCTGCCATCGCGACCTTCCAAGCGTGCTTTGCCACGCCCAAGGCGAGCCTGGCGGAGTTTATTGCTCAGGAGAGTGGTGCTGGGGGGTCGCTGGATGCTACCTCTGCTCGCCTGGTCGCCAAGATGAGGCGGGTTGCGCTGGAGTGATGATGACTCTGAAACATTTCTGGTAAAAGCACTGTTTTGAGTCTTGTGTTAAATCAAATGCAAGTTTGAGGCACTCTTACTATGTTGACCCATTTTCTTAGAATGTAACACGTGCAGCATGGTTATTCCAGCGCATCGTTTCGCCCACTCCAGCATTGTCTCGAAAGTTCCAGGTGGCAGCCAGATTCTCGTCATTTTTCGTGAAAATCACGCAGCGAGCAAGTCACACAATCCCCATCAAGCCGAGCTAAACCCATTGTTGCCTGTACCGTACCGATCTGTTCACAAAAATCCAGACCAAACCCCGAGCACTTGGCATTGCGTTGTGGTAACCGCAAGAAAGAAATATCTCGAAGCTCATCAGCACAGCAGCGCGTACAAACTCCCACTCGTACCTCTCCTGCTGACAGATCTAAATGCAAAGCATTCTTTGCTCTTGGTCACGTTCTGCTCCTGAAACTAGCGACGTACCTTGCGGATACCAGTGTCATCCTTCCCGCTGCTCCGCTTGCTTCCTTCACCGCTCCTTGCATCGCGTGCCATCATCTGCGATCCCTCCGTCATGGCGGCTACAGCATCGCGGGGCTCGTCCCCTTTCTCCCGCTTCGGGGACTCGCAATCCTTCAACTTCGACGCGCTGAAAAACTTCTCCGCGCTCACCCCCTCGATACAGTCACATCTGCAGAAAGTCTACCTGACGCTCTCGCTGACGCTGGTCGTCGCGTCGCTAGGCGCGTACGCGCACGTGCTGTGGGGGCTCGGTGGCGCGCTCTCGTCGATAGCGTCCATCGCGGGCGTTCTTTGGCTCAACGCCACGCCCGCCGTTCCCGCTAACGAGGTGCGCCTCCTCGCGCCCCCCCCCCTCTCCTCGTCTTCCAGTCTCCTCTTTCGCTAGTATTCTTTCTCCGAAGCTGTGTACTAGCTTTAACGTTTTGTCGCGTCCGTAGGCGTACTGGGTTAGTATATTCCAAGGCGATGTTCTCATGACCTCCGCAATGCAAGCAAAGCGACGAAACTTTCTGAATGTTTAGCCGACCGTTTTTTTGTTTTGTTTTTGTTTTGTTTTTTGTTTTGTAACGCCTTTCTTCGTATTTCCTTGTTGTAACACCCTTTCCCCCGTTTTTCCCGTCTCTCCCTTCCTGCGCCTTCCCGCGTCCTCGCGAATCTTTCGCCAGTCGTTTCGCTTTCGCCTGCTTCTCGCCATCGCCTTCTCGCACGGCTGCTCCATCGGCCCGCTCGTCGATGCTGTTATTCAAATCAACCCCGGGTAGGTCCCCTTATATGGCAGCCTTAGGTCACCCTGGGTACGAGAGTCTTAGGTTAACCGAGGTATGACGAGCGCAGGACCACGCATTAATAAGGCTAACCCCTCTGGTAACGCGCGGTTTTCTTGTCCCTCCTCAACTCCCACCCTCGCGGCTTCCTTCCGCGCTGCATGCTTTTCAATCACTCCCCTGCTCCCCGTCTCTGCGCTTGCGCCGTTTCCCATTCTTCGGCCTCGTTCTCCTCCCACTCTCCCCTCACTTCCCCCTCGCATCGTCTCCCCCATCCCGCTCCCACCCTCGCATTCTCCCACCCTTGCGTTCTCCACCGCACATCCCCCATGCTTATCTTCTCTACTCTTAACCTCTCTCTCCCGCCCCGTGCCCCCCTCCCGGCGCGGGCACCCAGTCTGTTAGTTGCAGCATTCGCAGCAACAGCGACCATCTTTATGTGCTTCTCAGGAGCGGCACTGCTCGCTAGGCGCCGCGAGTACGTCTACATGGGGGCCTTCTCTCCCTCTACCCGAGCACCTCAGTTTTGCCCACTTCTAACCCCTCTTCCCCTCCCCGCCCCCTTCCCCAACCCTCCACCCCCCAGTCTGCTAGTCACAGCATTCGTCGCAACAGCAGCCATCTTCCTGTGCTTCTCAGGGGCAGCGCTGCTCGCTAAGCGCAGGGAGTACCTGTACCTGGGAGGATTCCTTGCCTCTGCCGTCTCCACCATGCTCGCCCTGCGCCTCGCTTCCATCTTCTTTGGCGGCTCTAACGCTGTCTTTCAGATCGAGGTATGTGTGTGAGGTGTGTGTGTGAGGTGTGTGTGTGAGGTGTGTGTGTGAGGTGTGTGTGTGTGAGGTGTGTGTGTGAGTGAGGTGTGGCGCTGCTCGCACAGCGCAGGGAGTACCTGTACCTGGGCGGATTCCTCGCCTCTGCCGTCTCCACCATGCTCGCCCTGCGCCTCGCCTCTAACTTCTTCGGTGGCTCCAATGCTGTTTTCCAGATTGAGGTACGTGTGTCAGTTGCGTGTGTGAGTGCAATGTGGTCTCTGCTCTGTGAATTTGTTGCCTGTGCCTTGCAACTCCCCTCCGCCCTCTCCACCATGCTCGCCCTGCGCCTCGCCTCCTTCGTCTTCGGCGCCTCTGATGCTATCTTCCAGATCGAGGTTATTGTGTAACGAGCCCTTTCCTCTAATTCTGAGCACACCTGGGACGGCACCCTGTACGGGGGCCTGTTGGTGTTCGCATGCATTCATGGCACGCAGGTGTTGCTGAGGGCCAGTGCGGCTGCTCAATCCGCTCCCTTGCCGCTCCATCTCACTGCTTCTCCCACACTCTCTTCCACTTCCTCTTTCGCACAGCTGTACGGGGGCTCCTGGCGTATACATCATGTACGGCATACAGATGCTGGTGAAGAGGGCCAGTGTACCTGCTTGCTACACTGATATACTCTTCTCCTCTCCCCATCTCTCTTTAACCCACCAGAAACATATGGAGGCCTCCTGGTCTTCTCAGGATACATCATCTACGACACACAGGTGCTGCTGGAGAGAAGCAGAGCGGCTGTTTAATCCGCTTCCTTGCTACACCATCTCCCTTCTCCTCTCACCCCCCTCTCCCAATCTGTCCCTTTTCCTTCAACCCCACCAGCTGTATGGAGGCCTCCTGGTCTTCTCAGGATACATCATCTACGACACACAGGTGCTGCTGGAGAGGGCGAGGCAGGGCCACTGCGACCACGTGGTGGACGCCCTCGAGCTTCTTTTGGACTTTGTCGCTGTCTTTGTCCGCATCCTCTTCATCCTCGTGAGTCTGTAACCAACCTCCACGTAACCACACAGCATTCCATTTCACTGCTCAGTGCTGTAGCAAACTCATTTGTTCACTCCCACCCCTCTCGTCAACTCATCATCTCTCATGCTATGCTGTGCTGTGCCGTGCTGTCTTGTGCTGTGCCATGTCGTGCTGTGTCATGTGCTCTGCTTGCACTGTGCTACTTCACGTGCCGGGCAGACGAGGAAGGAGGAGAGGGAGGAGGAGCAGCGGGCATCATCCAAGCGCAGGGCTGCTGCCAGCACCTCCCGCCGTTGACTCTTTCGCCGTTAGACTCTCACACTACTGTTTACTCACCTCAACACAGCTGTAGCAGTTCTGTTGTTGATATCTTAAAATGCCCCCACTGATGCCTAACCTCCTGTTGGCTATGTGGAGAATCTCTTGGTGCATCAGCGGGTAGAGAGACGGGATGTAGAGATCCCTGTAGACATGTAGCAGAGGTCAATCGAAGACTGCTTTAGGTCGACTATTTGAGTCTACCAGAAAATATCGCAGACCAATGCCGTTTATAGAACTACACATGTTACAGTCTCTTATCATGGCACCTTATCGCGATACAGTAACACTGTGTGGTGGTTCCTCATAACGGGGTATCGACTGCTGCTGATTGCACAAGCCACACTCGCCCCATCCCATTTCAGCTCCAGCAACAAATCCACCACCCCATTTCACGTACCCGCATTGACAGAAGCCGCGCCCATGCCTGCCAGAGCTTGCAACAATTGATCGCAAACAGCGTAGCTTCTCCCTGAGCAACCCACTGTGCGACACTCTCGTCGGTGTCGCGTCGACCTAGTCGCACGTCGCATCGTCGCTGCTTTTCATCCGCGATTCCGCCGCTCCCTGAGTCGACGCACAAGTCACCGCATTTCCGTTGCTCTCTGTCCGCAACCCCCCGAGACCCAATCGAATGCTCCTCGCGCATTCTCTCCGCCGCCCCGTCCGCCGTCCGCGCCTCCTACCGCTCGCTCCCCCTTCCCCTCCCCCGCTCGCTCCCCATTCCCCTCCGCCGCCCCGTCCCCTGGTCCGCTCCCCGCTCTGCCCCTCCCTCCGCTGCTTACACTCGTCTGAGCTTTGGAGTCGACTCAATAATCGACCTGAGCTAGCCACCTCTCCCCGACGGTGCTTGCCAAAGGAGCGACCTTCCCTTGACGGGTGGGCTGAGCGAGCGACCTCTCTCAAGCGATTCCGCCTCCCTGTCGCCCTCGCGTGCCTCTCCCGGCCGCGTGTCGCAGTCGGGGCTTTAAACGGCGTGATAGCAATTGGGGCGTTGCATGGCGTGACAGCAATCGGAATTGCGCCGTCGAATTGTGTAACTGTAACGGATGTCGGCGCGCTGCAGCGGAGCATGCGGATGGGGATTCATGTGGCTGCAGGGATAAAGGCGGGTGTGACTGTAGTGAGTGTGAGAGGGAATGCGAGAGGAGGGATTGTAAGAGGGAGAGGGAAGAAAGGGATTGTGAAAGAAGGGGAGGTGAAAGAAGGAAGCGGGAGAGAAGGGAGTGTGAGAGCGTGGAGAGTGGCAGAGGAAAGGGTGACAACAAAGAGGTTGTCTGTAGGGAGAGTGGCAGTGGCAAGAAAAAACTCAACAGTAGAAGTAGTAGTGGCAGAAGCAGCAGAATCAGAAGCAGCAGCAGCGCAGGCAAAACAAAGGCGAGGGCGGAAGCCGAAACATGACAAGGAGAAAGACCCCAAAAATCCCGAGCAAGCCGCTGAGGATGCTTATAGCGAGGACGGCCCGCTGCCAGTGGTGATTCTGCTGGACTTTGAAACGACCGGGCAGGGCACCACGCAGAACCGCATAGTGGAGCTGGCTCTCAGGGACGTGGCGGGTGGGCGGGGAGCAGCGTTGCACACGCTGGTGAACCCGTTCCCGTGGCACATCTCTCTTGATGCGGAGAGGGTTCATGGGATCAGCATGCGCATGGTCAACCGCCCCTCCGTTCCCCAGTGAGTCCCCCGTGTGAGTCTCGGGTGCTCTTTTTCTCCCTGTTTGAGAGAGCAAAAGGAAGTTTCTAGGGCTGAAAAGGAAGCTGCTTGTTTGCTGTTTCGGGAGATGGCTCTGAGGGATGTGGCGGAGGGGAAGGAGGGGAGGGGGGGGGGGGGGGGGAGGGGAGGGGGAGACACTGCACACGCTGTTGAACCCGCTCCCTGGACATCTCTCCCGACTCTAAGGCAGTTCATGGCATCAGAATGCGCATGGCCAACGGCCGGCCCCTGCATTACCCTTACTCTCACTCATCATCCACCTGTGCATTTTGTCGAAGGCGCCTCGAAAGGCCTTATAAGGCGTCTCAAATGGCCCCTACTTTCACTCATTCAATTCTACATATTCTCTGCCCCTGCGCTCCTGATTTCTTTTCTCTTTTGTCACATGAATCGAATCGCCTCAGCTGGCGAGAAGCCGGGCGGCTGCTGGTGGACTTTGTAGAGGCCAGGCGGGCGGCGCAGGCAGAACAAGCAACAGTCTCAGTGCACAGCAGTGCGACCACTGGCGTCTATGTCAACACCGAGATGGGGGCAGGGATGCGCATGGGGATGATGAGTGCAGAGATGAGTGCAGAGATGAGCGCAGAGATGAGCGCTGTCTCTTCTGCAGCCCCCCTGCTGCTCCCCCCAGTGGTGCTGGTGGCGCACAATGGGTGGTCGTTTGACTTCCCTCTCCTGCGCAATGAGTTACAGCGAGTGGGAATCCCAGTGCCGCCCGGCTGGCACTCCCTCGATTCCATGCGCCTCGTGCAGAGGCTATTCAAAGGTGCGCTGTGGCACTTCAAAGGTGCATTGCTTCCTGCTGCTGCCCCAGTGGTGGCGCAAAGGTGACCGCTGTCTCTCCTGCAGCCCAGCCATTCCCCCCGGTGGGGCGTGGTGTAGCACTTCCGCTTCTACACCACGCCCCATCACCCCCCTTCTTCTCCCCATCCCCGCCCAATCTTCTCCCTGACAGACACGGATCGCAAGCCAGCGAGCAAGGAGCTTGGATTCCTCTTCTCAACGCACTTCCGCTGCTCCCCCCATCACCCCCTTTCTTCCGCCCCACCCCTCTCATCTTTTCTTCGCCTCCCATGACATCGCCTGCACACTCTTTCCCTTCTCTTCCCTGACAGACACGGATCGCAAGCCAGCAAGCAAGGCGCTGGGATTCCTCTTCTCAACGCACTTCCGCTGCTCCACGCCCTTTGCCCACCCTGACCTGGCCCACCGAGCCATGGCAGATGTGGACAAACTGGCCGAGGTGATGGCTGCTGCGATGTGGGAGAAGGGAGTTACTGTACCACAATTGCTACAGTACACTAAGTCATTCTTTTAATAATATGTTCAATTACTTAAAACCAATAATTACCGTACAGAAGGTATGGCAGGATGTGGACAAACTGGCCGAGGTGCTGGCTGCTGCGATGTGGGAGTGAGGGGTTACTGTACAACAATTGTTACAGTACACTAAACCGTTCTTATAATTATGTATAACATGAATACCAGGACCTCACTCAAAAGCCACGAGCACCGAGATACACTGGCTGGCAGAGGTGATTGCTGATGTTGTTGTTTGGGATCAACGGGTTACCGTACCACAGTTGTTGCAGTACAATCCTCTGGACTGACCCACCCCAATGCACTGTCTTCACAAAGGTGTACCGTAAAAAATTACAGAACAACAGTACAACAAAGTACAGTACAGCAACACTATCATCCTACACTTGTTGCACTGCTTCCACCACTATTCACAGTAACACTATTCACACCAGAGCCATATCCATCACCCTGTTGTGCTTGTAAGAGAGGTGTAGTCTCATTCAATCTCAGTGCAGCCACACTCTCATCTTCAGCCGCTGCTGCTGCAGCCCCATCAGCTGTTGCTCCACAGCCCTCCTCCTCGTCCTTTTCCGCACCTTCCCGCGCCCTCCTCTCCTTCTCCACAGCCCAGCTATACAGCACCATTCCTGTCACAGCCAGGAGCATCCCTAGGAGGGTCTTAAGAGTAAGGGGGTCTTTAAAGACCGCCCAGCCTAGTAGCAGTATGGCGACGGTCTTCATGTGACCTAGCACCTGGAAGGAAACCGCGGAGAACTTTCCGATGCAGAGGTAGACGCTGACTGTGGTGAGGAGGGCGAGGATGCAGGAGAGGAGAATCCACGCCTGTGGTGGTGGTGTGCAGGGGGGATGGTGATGGGGAAAGGTTAGGAAGCTTGGTGGGAGCTTAGTCAAACCTTAGTAGGTGATCGACAGTGATGGGTCGGGAAGCCTGCTGTGAAAACTTAATCTGGATAACATTTGGGATGATACGTGCTGCGACTGCAGAATCAGCTTCGACTCCACAAAAAACGCGGCACCTACAGTGGCATCGGCAGTCAGGGTGTAATGAGCCACGCGGTGGCCTGTGAGGAGGAGGTCCACAGCAGGTCCCAGCAGCAGCAGGAATGTGGCTTGCATTGCTTGCATCGACTTATGATTCAACAAGTAAAAAACAGCACCTACAGTAGCATCAGCAGTCAGGGTGTAGTGAATGACGCTGTAGCCTGTAAGGAGGTAGTCCACAGTGGGTCCCAGCAGCAGCAGCGACACTGCTTGCAGGGGGGCGGTCTGAATGAGCAGGTCAAAGGAGCCCAGCGCATAGCGCTGCTGCAAGTCGCCCACCGACTGCATGAATGGGGACAGGAGAGGGTATGGTAGGGTAGTGAAGAAGGGGTAGGGCAACCGTCAGACTTTGCTTGCAGGGGAGCAGTCTGAATGAGCAGGTCAAAGGAGCCCAGTGCGTAGCGCTGCTGCAACTCACCCACCGACTGCATGAATGGGGACAGTGGGGATGGTGGGGATAGGAGGGGTGGCAGGGGATGTAGGGAAGTGAAAGGCGTGGTGAGGAGGAAGAAAGGTCGTCTTATCTATGCTCCATTCTCTGCACATTCGTTACACTCACAATCTGCTGCAGGGACGTGGAAATAGCGCCAGCAGCAGCGGTGACGAGCCCAAACGCGCTGACAGAGAGGTCAGTGACCGTGCACACACCCACTCCCACCAGCACCACCAGCACCACCAGCACCACCAGCACCCCTGCTTCACTCACAATCTGCTGCAGGGATGTCGAAAGTGCGCCAGGAGCAGCGGTGACGAGCCCAAACGCGCTGACAGAGACGTCAGTGACCGTGCACACACCCACTCCCACCAGCACCACCAACACCCCTAGCACCACCCGCACCACCGGCACCACCAGCACCAACAGCACCACCAGCACCACCGGCACCACCAGCACCCCTGCTTCACTCACAATCTGTTGCAGGGACGTAGAGACAGCACCAGCAGCAGCAGTGGCAAGGCCAAACGCGCTGACAGAGACGTCAGTGACCGTGCACACACCCACTCCCACCAGCACCACCAGTACGGCGCCTAGCGTGGGGGGCGAGTAGGTCTTGCCGTGTAGCAGAGACTCAAACGCGCAGGTTAGAGGGATGATCGCCAGACGACTGATCTGGTGGTCAGTGGCGGGGAAATGAAGGGTCGTTCAGTCAATGATGAGCTGGTGAATCTGCTATATTGCGCTGCATACATCGGTGACGGTACAGTAGATTGAGTGGGTGTGTTACCTTTGAGGGGCCTCAAAAATGTATAAAAGCTTGAACGTGTGTGTTGCTCGGGCGGTAGAAATGGATTGAGTTGGCGAGGAGGGCAAAGTTGGTGGTGATGACACAGACATTGAACAGCAGCGTGAGGCGCCCCACCTCCCTTTAAGGCGCCTAAAAGGACGTTCCAGTGAGGGCATTGTGTGTGTCGCTCAGTTGCGCACCTGGTAGAACCCCACGGAGTTGGCAAGGAGGGCGAAGTTGGTGGTGACGACACACACGTTGGAGAGCAGCGTGAAGCGACCCACCTCCCACGCGGGTAACGTGGGGACCGGGGCGGGTGGAGGCGTGGTTGAAGGGGGGAGCAGAGAGGCGGAGGGAGAGAGCGGAGCGGGGGAGGGGAAAGAGGGGGAGGGGGAGGGGGAGGGGGGAGGAAGGAAGCGCGCGAGGCAGAGGCATAGCAGCCCGGCTAGAGCGGCGAAAGACAGATGCAGGCCGCTCAAAGTGGTGGCTGGGTGGGCCGGAGACCGGGGAAAACGGAGAAGGTGGTTTTTTTGGAGGGGGGAAAAGGGGGAGAAGGGAGAAAACGAGGGAAGTCTCGGAAGGTGCGTGTGATGCAAGGCACGGGAAATGTGAGGAGATGCGACTAAGAAAGGAAATGGACGGCGGACGGGCATGCCTGGCTGGACACTACTGACGGCGAATAAGAACAGCGCTACCACTGACCGTAGACGAAGGCGTATCTGGACATGACTTGCTTGTTGACGAGAATGATGGCGACCGAGCTGACCACGTTCAACGTCCACGCCGTCGCCGACGACACGCGCGACGGATGGTTCAACATGATTGAGAATTCTACAATCTGGCAAAAAAGGTTTGAAGCCTAAGCCGTCGCGGACGACACGCGCGAGGGATGGTTCAACATGATATCTGTGAACTACTCTGGCTGAATTCCGACGAGATCCGATCGGACATCTGTTACGAGATCGGACCGAGTCGCATTCACATATTCACACAATAAAAGCGAGCAGTGCTGAATCTACATGCGTTGGCTGCTATCACGGACCGCGTCATATGGATCTCGCAGTTGAAGCTGCAGCGATGGGAGCAGCTATGTGCCTGGGAGAATTTACACTCGATGGATCTGGATTTGTGTGCATATCTGTCCTCGTTTTGGGAGATCCATTTTTTTCGTTTGTGCGCTGCCTATAGTGACCAGCCTAACCAATTCCCAAGGAGGTCCATAGGAAACACGACCAAAGGGCCCCAACTTGAGATGGGTTGGACTTGGTTTTCTATGTTACCGAGAGTTGCCGTGTGGTCCAGTGTGGTGAAAGCTCCACTTTCTGACAACAAATCGAGGAATAGCGTAACCTTGAAGCTGCCGTGCCATCCCAGATATGGAATCTGATGGCTCAAACTTCTGAACTCCTTTCCTGGACTTCAAAGTTTTTGTGGAATCGTTTCTTGCTCTGTCGCATCAAGCACACACACGGTGATGGATATAGTTTCATAGTTGGCTACTCCTTCGTCAGGCTGAGTTATTCTCCTTCTACTTTCCGGTGATAATTTCTTAGTGATATTGCGTTATCCTTTCGGGCATCATGCCGTTACCCTCTAGGATTATAGACCAGTCCTAAAGTGCGAAAGGTTTTGATATATTTTCACCGAGCGACGCTTTCGTGCGATGCGATCGCCACTGTTCGCTGCGTGAATATATCATTTCGCCAGAACGAGCTCAATGGAGGCCCTCAATAGATCTGCCGTTCAAGCGTCTGGTGTACCGATTTCGTGGACGCTTTATTTTCCTAGCGAGGAGTTTTCACCCGAGGACAGACGAGCGGAGCTCATCAAATCGCTCATTGACGGATTCCTCACGGAGAAAGGCCAGCATCTGCTGCAGCAGGTAGTACTGGAGGACATGTGTTGCAATGTTAGGAGGTTCCTGATGCCACGACAGCCTATTTCTGACATTTGTGACTGACAACTCCTGAGGCAATGACTGACTGAAATTCATCGCCTCATGCACAGACGGCCATTTCGTGATGCAGTTACTGGCATTTCTTAATCCATGAATTTTTATAGTGGCAAGTCTGACGTTGCCTGGGCTATTGACTGACATTCTCTGATGAAACAACTGTGGCTAACATTGACTGATGCTCACTTTCTATGCAATGACTGACATTGCTCTATACTGCGAGTCTGCGACTGACAATCTCAGGTTCATGGCAAATACATCCCAACGCCATGACAGGCATTTTCTTATCCAACGGCCACAACTCACCCTCCGTCTATTCTCATTCCTGCCTCCCACCGAAAACAGGCCGACCCCAAGGAGCTGTTTCTTAACTCGAGATGGACGGTCAGTATGGAGGCACTGAAGCAGCACCTGTGCAGCACGCACGAAGCAGCCAGTGGCAGGAACGAGCTGGGTGCAGCTGCGGAGCTGCTGCTTCAAGCGCTTGAAGCAGCGCCAGAGGAAGCACTTTCCTGCCTGGGTGCTGCTGCCACTGAGGTACGATGCGTTCGGTGACGTGCTGGTTCATCTCATGTACGCAAAGCAGGATTGGGTGCCACTGCAGTAAAGGTTCAACTGCGCAACTGTATGACTCAGACTTCCTTCATTGACAGAGGGTTCCGCGAGTGGTGCTGCGCTCCATGTGTCCTCTCCTTTGCTTTCCTGCCGTCGGTGCGTTGCTGAGTCGTTCTTGTCGGGATCTGTTTTCATCACCCATGTGTGTGCGCTGATGATCAGGTATTCTCTCAGTGGCGTGTTCTCCCCTTCCTCCGCAATCATCCTCACACTGCCTCCACCGTTCGCCCGGCCCTATATGCCACTTGTTCCTCAAGAGAGGCCTGATTGAGCCCCCACCTTCCACTTGTGACTTTTGCGTCGACTAAGGATTCGCCTCTCTCCCCCCACGTGCCAGATGTTTCTGGAAAGAGGCCTGATCGAGACCCCGGCCCTCCCCTCCGTCGCCGCACAGCATGCCTCTTCTCGCCTGGCTGTGAGGCTGGTGGATCATACCGACTCGATTATTGAATTCAAGAAGCTTAAAGCCAGCAGCCTCGGTGAGAGCATTCAGCAGACTCACCTACTGTCTATGTCAGACGCATTTGTATCAGTTTGTATACATTGTGGTTAGGGCTTTAGCTGCAAAGATCTGTAGCACCATTTTGGTTTTCGATTGTTTGTTTTGCAACCAACAATTCTGCATCTTTATCGCCTTGCTTGGTTGCCTGTGGAAATGTGGGAGTCTTCCACAAGCTGAATATTTATTTGAAAGTTCGCTTCCCCTCACTGTTGTCACCCGTCCCTCTCCTTTCCTCTACTCTCCTCCCCTCCCATCCCCGCTTCTTTCACGCAGATCGGCTGGTGACAGTGTGTGGGACAGTGGTGCGGGTGGGTCCACTGCGGCCTCTAGTGGTGGCAATGGATTTCACCTGCACGCGCTGCGGCGCCGTTACCTCCCTCTCCTTCCCTGACGGTCGCTTCACCCAACCTGCTGCCTGTGGCCATGACAACTGCCGCAACCGCACCTTCCTGCAAAACCGGGCAGGTGCCCGGAAAATAAACTTCCAAACAATACGGTGAGTAGCATGTGTTTGTCACACACCATTGCGACCGTTCCACCATTCCAATCATATGTTTGTTCCCCATCCTCTGCCCTTGCCCTCTATTTCTATTTTCTTGGCATCTCTGTCTCAGCCCCTTTGAGCTCCATGCCAGTTCTTCTTTCTTACTTTCTTTCTCCCGAGGTGCAGTCTCCAGGAGCTGACAGGGGGCACGGGAGGGGGCGAGGACATGGGGAGGATGCCACGAGTGGTGGACTGCGAGCTGAGGGAGGACCTGGCGGATGCATGCCTGCCTCCCACACACCCCTTCTGATTTCTATCCCTCTCCCCCTCGGTGCAGTCTCCAGGAGCTAACTGGCGGCACTGGTGGAGGCGAGGACATGGGGAGGATGCCCCGTGTGGTGGACTGCGAGCTCAGGGAGGACCTGGCGGATGCGTGTCTTCCTCACATGCACCGCTTCTGACTATTACCCCAATCCCTCCCATTTTTCTCCTGCATGCAGTCTCCAGGAGTTGACAGGCGGCACAGGAGGGGGCGAGGACATGGGGTGGGGAGGATGCCCCGGGTGGTGGACTGCGAGCTGAGGAAGGACCTGGCGGATGCGTGCCTGCCTCACACTCACCCCTTCTGATCAATTATATCCCAATTCCTCCCACTTTTCTCCTGCGTTTTTCTCCCTCGGTGCAGTCTGCAGGAGCTAACAGGCGGCACTGGTGGAGGAGAGGACATGGGGAGGATGCCCCGTGTGGTGGACTGCGAGCTCAGGGAAGACCTGGCGGATGCGTGTCTGCCGGGGGATGTGGTGGCGGTGTGCGGCATTGTCAAGATCATCAATAATGAGACTGACGTGGGGGGAGGTGAGAGGGTAGGAGGAGCGGGAGGTGAGGGGATGGGAGGAGTGGGAGGTGGTTGTCGAGTGTGGGAGGGACCAGGAGGGGATGTTCGAGGGTCAAAGAAGCTTGTCTGGGGGGGGACGTGGTGGCGGTGTGCGGCATTGTCATGATCATCAATAATGAGACTGACGTGGGGGGAGGTGAGGGTGTAGGTGAGGGAATACAAGGAATAGGGCGTCGGTTTTGAGTCTGCTCAAAGGTGCCTGCCTTGGGGGGGACGTGGTGGCGGTGTGTGGATTGTCAAGATCATCAACAATGAGACAGACGTTGGGGGAGGTGAGGGGTAGGGAGGTAGGAGTGGGAGGTTGGAGGTACTAAATAGAGATTACTGGAGTGGGAGCCGATTGGGGTGCGAGTGGGGCCAGGGGGGTGGGGAATGGTGGAAGACGGTTGGGACATTAGAGTGAATAGAGTGCAAACGGAGATGCTTGTGAAGAGGCCGCTCAGCCATGTTCTTTGCTCCATGTGCGTTGCTCCAGAGCTCAAAGGCGCACACACATGTGCGTGCCGTGCATGCACGTGCTCCTTTCCTGGATGGCAGGGCGGTCAAAGAAGAGAGAGCAGTGCCTTTTCCAGCTCTGCATAGACGCCATCTCCGTCGTCAACGCCAACTCCTGAGGCACCTCAAGAGTCGCAGTCACTTACACACACACGCACGTGCTCCTCTCCTCCTTCCCTTGCAGGGCGGTCCAAAAAGAGAGAGCAGTGCCTTTTCCAGCTCTGCATAGACGCCATCTCCGTCGTCAACGCCAACTCCTGAGGCACCTCAAGAGTCACAGTCACTTACACACACACGCACGTGCTCCTCTCCTCCTTCCCCTGCAGGGCGGTCCAAGAAGAGAGAGCAGTGCCTTTTCCAGCTTTACATAGACGCCATCTCCGTCGTCAATGCCAATGCCCACTCCACCGCTTCTGCTCTCCGCTCTCCTCCCTCTGCGGGTGGGGCGAGTGGAGGCGCGGTGGAGATGGGGGAGGAGGACCTGAGGAGCATGTTGGAGTATGTGGGGGAGCATGAGGGGGAGGGCGACCTGTTTCAGCATATCGTGCACTCCTTCTGTCCTTCCATCTACGGCCACGTGCTCGTCAAAGGTGAGCTGACTTGTGTTGTGAGTGACTTTTTAGTAGAATCAAAAGGTACGTTGGAGTATGAATGTGGTGGAGATGGGGGAGGATGACATGAGGAGCATGTTGGAGTACGTGGTGGAGCATGAGGGGGAGGGCGACCTGTTTCAGCATATCGTGCACTCCTTCTGCCCTTCCATCTACGGCCACGTGCTCGTTAAAGGTGAGATACTTGCCTGTTCTCTGCGCTCCTAACTGTGTGCTGCGGGTGGTGCGAGTGGAGGGGCGGTGGAGCTGGGGGAGGATGACATGAGGAGCATGTTGGAGTACGTGGGGGAGCATGAGGGGGAGGGCGACCTGTTTCAGCACATCGTGCACTCCTTCTGTCCTTCTATCTACGGCCACGTGCTTGTCAAAGGTGACGTGGCTTGCTGAACCCTGTCGCTTTGTGTTGCTGTCACCCTTTGTTTATTCTTGCCGCCTCCATTCGCTGCCACCTTCCTCATGCCTTGCCATCTTTGCCATCCATTGAAGGATCAACCAGCCAATCCTCCTTCTTGATGGCCCTCCATTCAACCTTTTTCCTGCCACCCGCCTCTCTCTCTTTGACGCTCGCATTTGCAGCGGGCATCATTCTGTCCCTCTTTGGAGGGGTGCGCAAGCACGAGGGGGAGGCCAACCGCGTGCCAGTCAGGGGAGACGTGCACGCGTTGCTAGTGGGTAAGTGCTTACCAAGGTCACTTCTGAGTCGACTCAAACAGCAGCGGGCATCATTCTGTCCCTCTTTGGAGGGGTGCGCAAGCACGAGGGGGACGCCAACCGCGTGCCAGTCAGGGGAGACGTGCACGCGTTGCTAGTGGGTAAGTGCTTACCAAGGTCACTTCTGAGTCGACTCAAACAGCAGCGGGCATCATTCTGTCGCTCTTTGGTGGGGTGCGCAAGCACGAGGGGGATGCCAACCGCGTGCCAGTCAGGGGCGATGTGCTCGCGCTGCTAGTAGGTAAGCGGGTACGATGGTGTGTGATGGTAATGGACAGGTGCACGCTTGTCTATGCCACTGAAAACTATCTCTGCGAGTGGGTGTATCCTGCAGGCAGTGGGTGCGGAAATTATTACCTCTAGCTGCTTGTGATTGTGCCTTTTTTCTTGAATTAAAGCACTTCCGACTTTCCTCCACCTTCCCGACATCCCGCTCCCTGCCAACACAGGTATGGGAAGTGTATCACTGGAAAGCGTGACTGCGCTCAGAGGTATCAACTTCCTTTACATCCCCTCTCACTCACTCTAACCATCCAACCAGGCGGTCCAGGCATGGGCACGAGCCAGCTGCTCAAGGCAGCAGCAGCGGTGATTTTGAAGTAGAATCAAAACCACCTGTAGGAAGCCCAGTGTCATAAACTTCCCAATGCATTCCCTCTTCTCTCTCTCTCGATCACTCACTCGCACCAACCAGGCGATCCGGGCATGGGCAAGAGCCAGCTGCTCAAGGCAGCAGCAGCGGTGGCACCTCGCGGGGTGTACGTGTGTGGCTCTGGCGCCTCATCTGTGGGGCTCACGGTGGCAGTGGTGAAGGACGGGCCTGGGGGGGAGTACGCCTTTGAAGCAGGTTAGTGGTGGGAGGGTAAGAAGGGCGAGGGGGAGGGGATGGGTGCTGCAGTGGCTGTGGCACCTCGTCGGGTGTATGTATGTGGCTCTGGCGCCTCCTCTGTGGGGCTCACAGTGGCAGTGGTCAAGGACGGGCCTGGCGGGGAGTACGCATTCGAAGCAGGTTGGTTGGTGGTGGGGTGGGGTAGGAGATGGGGTGGGAAGGGGTTTGTGCACATGTCACAATTCATGTGGGGTGTACGCGTGTGGCTCTGGCAGCTCCTCTGTGGGGCTCACAGTGGCAGTGGTGAAGGACGGGCCTGGAGCAGAGAATGCCTTTGAAGCAGGTTGGTGGCGGGTTAGGAAATGCGGGAGGAGAGAATGGGTGCAGCAGTGGCTGTGGCGCATCGTGGGGTGTACGTGTGTGGCTCTGGCAGCTCCTCTGTGGGGCTCACAGTGGCCGTGGTGAAGGACGGGCCTGGAGAAGAATATGCCTTTGAAGCAGGTTGGTTAGTGGTAGTTAGGAAGGGCGCGCAAGGGGGAATGGGCGCAGTGGTTGTGCGTTGTCAGGTGTAGTGCATTGTAAATGGTAAATAGTATGCTTGCGGGCTGGCGGGGACGCGGGGATGCTTGAGATTCGAACTTGAGACTTTTCTTATCGGCACAATTTTCCTACCAACTGGGCTAACTATTTTGCTCTTGTGAAGCACCCTAACTTTCTTCAACCCTTCGTCTTCCCCCCGTTGCAGGGCACATGCTGCATTGACGAATGTGACTTTTTTCCTGATGCCTGAAGAGCTCTCTCATTATCTCCCTCTCTCACCTCCGCCATCACCATTTGCAGGAGCAATGGTGATGGCGGACCAGGGCACGTGCTGCATTGACGAGTTTGATAAGATGGGCAACGAGCAACAGGTGGGCGGGGTGTGGGTAGCGTGCTGTGAGGAGGTATGATGGAATGTCGTGAGCAATAGTAGAATGGATGGAGTGTGCAATGATACGCATCTCTTCCTCCTGTGCCTCTTGTCTTTCCACATCTCGCACTCCACTCCCTCCCTCCCACCCACCAGCTCCGCTTCTCCCTCCTTCCCCAACTATCCCCACTAAGAGCCATGGCGCCGCACACTCTCCGCAGAGCGTGACTGCACCCAAGACTGCTCCGACAGCTGCACCCTCTTCATCTATACTTTGCTCTTTCCGTCCTCACCCCCCACGCCCCCTCTCTAGGTACTGTGGAAGCAATGGAGCAGAAGAGGGTGAGTGTGGCCATAGCTTCATTTACGTCCTCGCCCCCTCCAGCTTTACTTGGCTCTTTCCTTTCCTCTTCCTCGCCCCGCTCCCTCCCCCAGGCGCTACTAGAGGCCATGGAACCGCTGAGTGTGAGCGTGAGTGTGGCCAAGGCTTCTTTTCCGTGCTCACCCGCTTCATCTGGCTGTTTCCTCCTCTCAACCCCTGCCCTCCCTTTTCCTACGCCAGGCGCTACTGGAGGCAATGGAGCAGCAGAGCGTGAGTGTGGCCAAGGCAGGTCTGCTGGCAAACTTCAGTGCGCGCACTGCTGTACTTGCTGCTGCCAACCCCGTTGGCGGGCATTACAAGTGAGTGCCAAGAACCGAGGAACGAGCTTTCAGCCTCGTATTCTGCAACCAAAGTTTTGTTATTTCACAGGTCCCAGCCATGGTGTTCTCTCTCCGTTCCCCCCGTAGCGGATCGCTCCTTCTTCCTCTCTTTCTGTTTCTCTTCTTGACGTGTTTCCTTCATGTCCGCCTGATCTCTCATTGTTCCGCTACTTCCGTTCCCCACCCTCTCTTTTCCATCTTGGCATCTCCCTTCCCCTCCCATCCTCTCCCATCTTCTCCCATCCCCTCCTCACACCAGTCGAGCGCGCACGCTGAATGAGAACCTGAAGCTGTCTGCCGCCCTGCTGTCACGATTCGATTTGATCTTCATACTCCTGGCCCATCCCTTCGCCCCCCTTGCCCTCCCATCCTCTCCCATTTCCCCTGCTCGCCAGTCGAGCGCGCACACTAAACGAGAATCTGAAGCTGTCTGCCGCCCTGCTGTCAAGATTCGATTTGATCTTCATTCTCCTGGACCGCCCAGACCACCACACGGACCAACGTCTGTCAGAGCACGTGCTACAGGTGAGAAGAATCTGAAGCTATCTGCCGCCCTGCTGCCTAGATTCGATCTGATCTTCATTCTCCTGGATTGCCCAGACCACCAGACGGACCAGCGCCTATTGGAGCACGTGCTACAGGTGAGAGGCTGGAGAAGCATGCGGGTGGGTTGTGGCGTGTGGTTTACGTATCTGGTGAGGTATGTGGTGTTCATATCTGGTAGAGGTGTATATTCTAATGCCATTCAACGTCGGGGGTAAGCGTATATGGGCTAGAGCCATGTGGTAGAGCTTCCAGGCGAGAGTTCCCTTCACAAGTCTTTCATTTCCTTCAACCTGTTGCCTGTGCTTGCTTGCTGCAGATGCATGCGGGCATGCCATCTCGCTCCAAGGCATCCAAACGCAGCTGTAAGTCGTCCCCACACAGCCTGCCACACTGCCTCCCACACTGACTGCCACACAGCCTGTCACACTGCCTCCCACACTACATGCATGTATGTGGGGCACCTGTGTTGCCTGGGTGTCCCGCAGATGCATGTAGGCGTTCCATCTCGCTCCAAGCCATCCAAAAGCAGCTTTCTGCCACACTGCCTGCCGCACTATCTCCTCCTCTCGTACCATTTTTGTCTCGTCCACTCTCCATTCAGACAATATCTCCCTTGATCACCCCTTCAGCAAGTAATAGCACTCACATCTCGAACTTCCCCTCTCTGTCAACAACCCCCCCTCTCTCATCCCATCCCATCTCACCATCTCATCTTCACATTTCAATACTCCCCCCCAACTCTCACACCCCCACCTTCACCGCATCCCACTCCACCAGCCCATCTCTTCCTCACGGCCCCATCAGCCACGGACGGCCATGCATCGCACCTCGACCTCCCACCTCATCCCACCCCCGCACACCTCATCAGCCCATCTCTTCCTCATGGCCCCATCAGCTACGGATGGCAATGTGTTGCACCTCGACCTGCCTCTCTCCCACCGCCTCAACCTTCCACTTTGTTTACCCCCCTCCCTCATCCCACCCCCGCGCACCCCACCAGCCCATCTCTTCCTCACGGCCCCATCAGCCACGGATGGCCATGCATCGCACCTCGATCTCCCTCTCTCCCACCGCCTCCGCCTGCGCTCCTCTGCTGCCCGCAACTTCTCCCCCCTCCCCCCTGCTCGCCTGCGCCAGTACATTGCCTATGCCCGCACTCACGTGCACCCCAGGTGCGTCCCTTCCACCCGTATTAGTTGAGATCTCTTCTCTCGTCTCCCTCCCCCCTGTTCGCCTGCGCCAGTACATTGCCTACGCTCGCACGCACGTGCACCCCAGGTGCGTTGTGTTCTCACTAGCGGTGTCTGCCCCCTGTTGTGTCTTGAAGCGTCTCACTCACACCTGCACCTCCCTCTCTCCCAACGTTTCCACCCGCGTTCCTCTGCTGCCCGCAACTTCTCCCCCCTCCCCCCTGCTCGCCTGCGCCAGTACATTGCATACGCTCGCACGCACGTGCACCCCAGGTGTGTCCCTCCCACCTCTATTACTGGTTGAGATTTCTCCCCTCGCTCCCCCCTGCTCGCCTGCGCCAGTACATTACCTATGCCCGCACGCACGTGCACCCCAGGTGCGTCCACCCACCTATTACATGCTGAGACTTCTCCTCCTTTTCCCCTGCTCGCCTGCGCCAGTACCTCGCACACACGTGCACCCCAGGTGTGTTGTGTTCTCACTAGCGGTGTCTGCCCCCTGTTGTGTCTTGAAGCGTCTCACTCACACCTGCACCTCCCTCTCTCCCAACGTTTCCACCCGCGTTCCTCTGCTGCTCGATACTTCTCCCCCCTCTCCCCTGCTCGCCTCCGCCAGTACATTGCCTACACTCGCACGCACGTGCACCCCAGGTGCGTTCACCTGTAGTGCCGGATGCTTTCATCTCTCCACCCTGCTCGTCTTTGAAAGTACATCGCTTGCGTTCGTGTGTGCATTGGCAGTCCCAAATTCGTTCTCCTTAGCAGTGGGTTTTCCCTATTGTGTGATGACTTGTCTCAATGCCACTGCCTCCCACTGCAACTCCACTGCGACCAAATGCCACCCCTGCAATCCCACTGCCACCCATAATGCCGCCCACTGAAATTCCACCCTTTATCATTCATGGAACCCATCCCATATTGTATCAAAGTTTCGCTCGCTGCAATCCCACCCGTTTTGCTGCCCGCTACAGGTTGTCGGAGGAGGCGCGGGCAGTGATCAAGGTATTCTACCTGCGGCTAAGGGAGCACAGCCGCGATCCCACCTTTTTTTTCCCCCGCTGCAATCCCCACTCCCACCCTTTGTGCCGCACGGTACAGGTTGTCAGACGAGGCGCGGGCAGTGATCAAGGCGTTCTACCTGCGGCTGAGGGAGCTCAGCTGCGATTCCACCTTTTTTGCCCCCCTTGCAATCCCACTGCCACCCTGTTTTCCACCCGTTTGCCACCCTGTTTGCCACCCGTTACAGGCTATCAGAGGAGGCGCGTGCAGTGATCAAGGCATTCTACCTGCGACTGAGGGAGCACAGCAGAGCCATGGACGGCCCTCCAATCACAGCGCGCCAGCTGGAGAGCCTCGTCCGGCTTGCCGAGGCTCGGGCCCGCGTGGAGCTACGGGAGGAGGTTACCGAAGCTGATGCCCAAGAGGCAGTGGAGCTGATGGGGGAGTGCTTGCTAGACAAGCTAACAGACGAGGCGGGCAACATAGACGCGGGGCGGGGCGGCGGCTCGAGCAAGTCAAAGGAGTCAAAGCGGTTCCTCGCCGCCCTGCAGCGCACGGCGAAGCAGGCCATCAAAACGTGCTTCTCAAGGAAGGTTGGTCTTGAATTCTTACCCCACTCACCTTGCAAGGCAGCTCGAGCAAGTCAAAGGAGTCAAAGCGGTTCCTGGCCGCACTGCAGCGGCCATCAAGATGTGCTTCTCAAGGAAGGTCCGTCTTGGCTTTCAACATTTGAGTCAACTCACATCACCACTCACATCAAAACTGACCTCAAGCAAGTCAAAGGAGTCAAAGCGGTTCCTGGCAGCCCTGCAGCGCACCGCTAAGCAGGCCATCAAAACATGCTTTTCCAGAAAGGTCCGTATTGACCCAAAAATGTCTCAGTCAACTCAAAGGTCACTCGAGCAATCATAGGAGTCAAAGCAGTTCCGTACTTTGCCCTCATGCCATTCCTTCCCTTCTTTCTCATACGGTACTTCACTGCCCCATCTCTCCCGGTGCTTGTCAGTAGCTGGCCCAATTACTAGTGGACGACATGTGTCTCAGAGTGCCGGATCTCGATGCTCTCATGCCGTGCCTCATGCTCTCCTTCCATACCCCCATTGCCCAACTTCCACATCCCCTGTGCCTGTCAGGAGCTGGCCCAATTAGCGGACGACATGTGTCTCAGAGTGCCGGATCTCGATGCGCTGATTGACAGCCTCAATGAAGCGGGCTTCCTGCTGAAGAAGGGCGGAGGGCTCTTTCAGGTACGACCCGCTCCCATCCCTCCAGTCGACCCAAAAGTCAGCTCTGAGAGTGTTGGTTGATGCGCTGATTCACAGCCTTAATGAAGCGGGCTTCCTGCTGAAGAAGGGGGGAGGGCTCTTTCAGGTATGAGTCGCTCTCATCCCTCTATTGAAGTTTACGGTTGCGGACACTCATGCGGTACTCGTGACTTGTGCCACTGATCACTGATGCATGCTCTGCTTCTTGTTATGCTCCGTGGGAGCTCCTGATGGTTGTTGATGCCTGTTTTGCATTGCCGTCTGTGCTTCCAGGTGCAAACATGATGTGCAGTATGAGACATAAAGTGCAGCATGAAAGCCTGTCCTGTACATATGTGGATGCAGCTGAGTGGCATTCAAGCTTTAGTATACATTTGCCTTTGGGGGCAGGCGTGTTGGGGTGTGTGAAATCACTTGGCATGTTGCCATCATTGACTGGAAAGTGTGACCTACGGCATGTGGCAATCTTCAGCTGTCTGGCAGAATCTGATGTCGTCTGGCAAATCAATAATCATCACATCCTAGCACATGCAAGCAAGCATCCACCTGGGGTTACGTATGCATCTGATTTGTTCTGTATTGGAGGTCACACAACACAACACAATGCTCAGACACTAAACAGTAGCTTTCCCCACATTGCCCCCATGGTAAGCTGAACATGTCTAAGCACATGAATTGTTCCCTGTGATGCTCACAGGACAGAAGTGAGACTACGGTATCAGATTTGGTGCCAGCTGGCAGTAGCATGACTCATGAACATCCTGGGACATCACGTCACTATGTGAGCTAGTGCACAGCCTCCTTGCCTAACCATTGGGCATCAAATCAACCTGTTACCTCCTCTCTCCCCATTCATAGTGAATAGCAAGTGAAAGCTTTAATATTTAATGGTTGAAGGCTCTAGAGCCCAAAAAAAAGGAGACAATTCGTGGTGGCCTAAATGCATACAAATAACATAAGCTTCCCCAAATATTCCCTTTTTACGAGGACAGAGCCTTCACCAGCTCCTGCTTGGTGTTACCGCGGATACCCCTTTGGGCGGCGATGGCGCGCAGCTGCGCCAGCGACTTCGTGGCGAGGACACTCGCGCTGGGGAGGGACGGCGCGGAGGATGACACGGGAGCGGAGTAGGACGGGGTGGAGGACGAGTACGAGGACGAGGCCACGGCGCTGCCGTTGGTGTAGGAAGCGGCGGCAGCAGCCTTGGGGGCGGCGGAGCCACTGCAATAGGTAAGGGGAAACGAGGTCAGTTAAAAGCACATTGTTCACCGTCTGAAGGCTTTGTTAGCAATACAAGCTTGAAGTTCGTGTTTGGATTAAGGGATTATAAGAAAGTGTACTTACGTCAGCAGCTTGATAAGCTCCTTGCGGGTGTCTCCGCGCACTCCCCGCGCCTTAGCGAGCGCTCGCAGCTCGCTCAACGCGAGGCTCTCTAGCTGGCCGACAATCTCGGGCTTGTCCTGCGCGAAACCCTGCACCGCGGAGGGGGAAGCGCCAACAGCGCCAGCACCGCCGTGGAACGAGAGAAGCCCCGCGACCAGCTCCGCGCGCGTGGTCCCCGAGACTCCGCGCATGCGCGCAACGGCGCGCAGCTTGGACATAGGCTTGGTCTGGAGGCGGCGCTGGTAGTCGGAGACGGACTGGGTCGTGGGGACCACGGGGGAGAGCGCCTCCGCGGAGAAGGACATGGCGGGAGCTGCGGGGGCGGGGGTGACACCGCCGACGCTCCTGCGGTTGGGAAGAACGAGAGAAAACATAGCCGCTAGAAAATCAACAAGGGATCAGAGACAAGGACTTGCAAAAGAAGCAGACACGCGCTCAGGCCAGAGGAATGAGAAGAGCAAGGGAGAAGTGGCGGGGAACGATGGACGAGGCTCGAGGAAGAAGGCAAAGATGCTTACAGGAGCAGCTTGATGATCTCAGCCTTGGTGTCGCCACGGAGACCCTTGGCCGAGGCGAGCGCGCGCAGCTCACCCAGAGTCTTGCTCTGCAGGAGCGCCTCGTCGCCGGAGACAGCGGCGACGCTAGCGTACGGCGAGGGCTTGGATGCGACGGCACCACTGCAAGGTAGATTAAGAGAGTCGCGGGAACAGAGACAAGATTGAGGACATTATGAGCGCGCTTAAAGTTGCGAATAACAACGGAAGGACAAACTATGCTGTGAAGAGCCGACAACTGGTTAACAAGCGGACGGAAGCATGATACACAATGAACTTCCCATACGATCCAGCAGCTTCTGGACGGGGATCATTCGCGGATAAGCAGTAGCACTCACCCAGTGAGGGCGGAGATGAGCTGGGCCTTGTTGTTGCCAGTGATGCCCTTCATGCGGGCCATGGCGCGCAGCTGCTCCAGTGACTTGCTCTGCAGGTCGCGAGCGGTCAAGGCCGCGACAGCGACGAGTGACCGACGCTGCTGCTTGGCCTGAATCGCTGGGAGCGAGACCGACATCGACACTGAGCGTGCCGTCTCCATGGAGGAGAGAGCAGGTGCTGCCAGGAAGGCGGACTGCAAAAAGTGAGGGAAACAGAGACATATGGGCAGATGGAAAAAAACATTGTTAGAGATTTAAAACGGACGGAGAAAGGCGGCATTGCGGTTATGATGGCAGTTAAAACACCTAATGCAGTCGCTGTGGTTCTTAAAGTTTTATGGCCGTCGACATGCTGACCGATCTGTGACTCGAAATCGGATCTTAATCCTAAACGGTAACGTCAATCAAGCCTAAACTAACGAGGACAAGTACCTTCTGAGCGACGGCGGCCATGGCTGCTCTTTGCTGACGAAGCTGACGAAGAAGTGATGTAGGAACGAGCTAACTTGTCAGCAACGAAGAGCAGAAAAGGCATACGAGGGAGCAGAAGACAATTTTCGAAATAATGCTGAGCTTGCTTCAATTTGAGCTGTCTCTCGCCTTGGGATTGCCGTGCCTATCCACTTCGCTTTTCCTCGCTACACGGTGGAGCAATCCGCTGGCATTTTGGCAGTTGGCTTTGGGCGGAGGGGTGTTGAATACGGTGGGGAAGGGTAGTGGGAGATGCATGGGGGAAAGCGGAAACCAGCAGGGCATGGCATGCGCGCCGACGAGTCTTCCGGGGATGCGTGGGAGCCCCCGGGGAATTGCGCGGCTCCAGTGCGGACGAGTTATGGGGCAAGGTTCGTCTCGGTCTCCACCACACGTGCCCCCCAACGAAATTGCTGGTCTGGGATTGACGACGGACGGGTGATAGATCAAATTGCCAGCGTGGCGAGCCTCGAAAAGAGCGTCTGTCGGAATGGTTGGGCCATGCTGGCAGATTCCACATCGGATAAAGAGCCGACGGAATGGGTCTAGGTTCACGAACGGCCGTTTGCCTAGAGACTGCTTTTTGGGGGGACAGAAAGACGAACTAGCACACAAGTTGAAATTTTAGCTTTTCGGGCAGCAACCTCCTGAAGAACTCTTTTTCGTTATCCACGCAGGAACCGCTGACGTGGTTTTGATGTGTCCAGCTAGCCAGCTCTGCCTTGGTAGTCCGTCCAGATTCAAAATCGCCCATCTAGTGGCTCCCGAAGCTTGTCCCGAATCAAGGCCTGATGGGATGTTTCAGCGAGCTCTTGTGGCTGATAGTTCTCCCGAATCGAACCGCCTGCCACGCGGCAAAATCCGAGAGCGGATAGCCTCCTCCTCATCGGTCCTCGAGAGCCGTCGTGGTCTGTAGTTGACCGTGGTGCTCGTAGAGCCCTCGTTGTCCCGTGGCATCTGTCCGACGTGGCATCTGGCGGATCCTCTCATCCACCATCTGTGGTGGCCCAACTCGACACCAGGCAGGCAGCCATGGCTGCCAATCAGCTGGTTCTTCATTCCCCACCAACCTCTTCTTCAATCTGCTCCTGCCTTGGTCTTCCCAGTCTGCTAACTCTGAGAGTGTCGACTCCATTGCGTATTCTTCACTCGCCAACTTGACTCGAGTTTGCTCCCGCGAGTAACTCGTTCTCTTCGCCTTCGCCCGGCTTTTTTGGCGATTGTCGTCCGTGCACTCGCTACTAGCTCTCCGTCTGTGGTGACCTCGTAGCAGACACCATGGCTTCCACCACTCTCTCAGCCAAGGTCCGCCATCCCAACCTCTATCCCGATGATGTCGTCACCTTGTTTTCTTCTTTTCACTCCGCGTCTCGACAACTTGTTTCGTCCTTTTTGCATAATCTATTCTCCTTGCCATACGCTCCACGGTTCTCATTTGACCGCACTCCCCTCACCGTCTTCCCTTCCTTCTCCCGCCTCCCTCTCCATCTCTTCTGCTTCTCCTCCCCCTGTATCGGCCTGCAGATTGCCTCATCCGCGCTGCTCGGCTCGTCCGCGCAGCTCTCTAGCAATGCGACCCTCTCGGGCGCAAAGCTCTCCGGAGCTCCCCCCGCGGGCCGCGCGCGCGTGACATGCATGGCGGAGGACCGCTGGGCGGGGCTTGGGCGCGACATTTCCGACGACCAGCAGGACATCACGCGCGGGAAGGGCATGGTGGACGCGGCGTTTCAGGGCGGGTGGGGACAGGGCACGCACGCGGCGGTGCTCAGCTCTTATGACTACCAGAGCCAGGGCCAGCGCAAGTACGTCCCGCGTGTTCCCTCTGCATCGTTTCCGCGTCTCTTCTGCCTTTCGTATGCGTCTAGTCTGTTCCTTATTATCTATAGCTTTTTTTCTCATTATCTATAGCCCTGCGCCCTGACTATCTATCTTTCTCGTTGGCTGCTAGCAACCTTATCTTGCTTTATCTGCAAAGCGTGTTACAGACGCCTGGCGACTCGTTGCTCCCCACTCCGCTCTCACCCCGCACCAACTCCCCCTTCCCCTCCTTCCCCCTTCCCCTCCTTCCCCCTTCCCCTCCTTTCCCCTTCCCTTCCTTCCCCTCCCCTTCTTCCCGCTCCCCTCGTTCTCTTGATCCCCTCCCGCCAGTCTGAGCAACGTGACGGCGGACGGCCTGTACATCGCGCCGGCGTTCATGGACAAGATGGTGGTGCACATCTGCAAGAACTTCATGGCGCTGCCCAACATCCGCGTGCCGCTCATTCTCGGCATCTGGGGTGGCAAGGGCCAGGGCAAGTCCTTCCAGGTATGCCTTTCGCGCCATGGGTTCCCTCCTCCCCTCCCCTCCCCTCTTTTTTTCTTTTTTTTTAACTTCGAAAATGATAAAAGCTGCTTCCGTCTTGCTCATCGCCCCCCTCCCCCGCCCCCCACTCCCCCGCTCCCCCCACCCCCCCCCTTCCACCTCTTTCTTTAATCCCTTTCGTAATGCCGTGTCGGTTCCTGGTAGTTTCTTAGTTTCATTCCGCTACACTGACATGTTAACACGCTTGATCGTTTCGCCTAAGAGTATCCAACTAGTATGTATACAGTAGCTCTTTCTAGTATGGCCGTCTAACCCGCATATCCGCATATTTCCTTGTGTCTGCGTTACAGTGCGAGCTGGTGTTCGCTAAGATGGGCATCAACCCCATCATGATCTCCGCGGGAGAGCTCGAGAGCGGCAACGCCGGAGAGCCCGCCAAGCTCATTCGCCAGGTGAGCAGAGCACGTCGCATTGCTGAATAGGTGTCAGGAGGATACATTATTTTTCGTGAATCAAAAGTCCTTGGCTTTTTCACCACCATTTGCGTCCATCGCTGTCACTAGCTTTATCGCGCGTTCGTCCTCAAGCCTATTTCGTTTTTTCCTCGTTGCGTTCTTCTTGATTCACCTCGGTTCTTCGCCTCGTTTTTCAGCATACATGCACCGCATCAATCATCGTCAAACGCTGCTATGGTCCATTGCCTCATGCGCAACATATCTCATTCGTCCCTTCCCCTTCCATTTTTTTCGTCTCCGTTCTCTACTGCTATTCCCCCCCCACAGCGTTACCGCGAGGCGTCTGACCTCATCAAGAAGGGCAAGATGTGCGCGCTGTTCATCAACGATCTCGACGCGGGCGCGGGGCGCATGGGCGGCACGACGCAGTACACGGTGAACAACCAGATGGTGAACGCCACGCTCATGAACATCGCCGACAACCCCACCAACGTGCAGGTACGCTGCTGCGCGCCGCCGGTGGTAACGACGATACTGCTATGTTATTTGTTTTTGTGTCATTGTTGTTAGGTAAGAGTGCGACGCCGTGCTGCTTAGTTAAGCGCGCTTAGCGCCGGTTGACCACTCTTCCGTCGCCGTTAAGTGGATGAGCATTAGGTCTCTCGCAAAGTGGGGTGCGCGTCGCTAAAACATGCGAAAACTTCCGAGTCTGGTATAGGGTCAAGGCTCCTCTGTTCGCGTCGTAGGGATAGGTTGGCATCGGTCGTATCGCGGAAACAGGGAGTGCCACTAGATAGAGCGACCCTGGAACTCTGCTGACGTCTGCGCGCTTAGTAACCACCAGGAGTAATAAACGAGTGAAAAATAGGATGTCAGTGACTGCAGGACCCGTAAACTCGATTGCACAGGGATAATGTAAAGCTCGAAACTCGTGCTTCTGCTTATCCTGTTTTCCCCTCCGCAGCCCCATTTCGCCTCTTCCCTCACCTCCTCCTCAGTCATCTCTTATGATGTCTCCCACGCTCCTCCTACGCCTCGTCTCCCTCTTCCGCTTCCCCCACATACACCCCCCTCCTCCGAAAGAGATGAACCGCGTGCCCATCATCGTGACCCCCATGTTGCCTCTCCATTCACCTTCGTCCCATTCTGCTCCCTTGTGCTGTCCCCTGCCCTCCTCCCCGCCTCCCCTCCTCCCCGCCTCCCCTCCTCCCCTCCTCCCCTCCTCCCCTCCTCCCCTCCTCCCCTCCTCCCCCCACTCTACCAGATGCTGGGCATTTACAACAAGGAGGAGATCAACCGCGTCCCCATCATCGTGACCGGAAACGACTTCTCAACGCTCTACGCGCCGCTCATCCCCTCCCCTCCTCCCCTCCTCCCCTGCTCCCCCCTCCTCCCCTCCTTCCCTACCAGATGCCTGGCATTTACAACAAGGAGGAGATCAACCGCGTGCCCGTCATCGTCACCGGCACTCCCCCTCGTGTCCTTGACCCATTGAACATGCCCTCACTTCCCCTGTCCCTACTCCCACCCCACTTTCCCCAACCTACCAGATGCCGGGCATTTACAACAAGGAGGAGATCAACCGCGTCCCCGTCATCGTGACCGGAAACGACTTCTCAACGCTCTACGCGCCGCTCATCCGCGACGGGCGCATGGACAAGTTCTACTGGGCGCCCACGCGCGACGACCGCATCGGCGTCTGCTTGGGAATCTTCAAGGAAGACAAAGTGTCCGAGGCTGACGTCGTCCAGCTCGTCGACACCTTCCCCGGCCAATCCATTGACTTTTTCGGAGCGCTGCGCGCGCGCGTGTACGACGATTTGGTCCGCAACTGGGTGGGCTCGATCGGTATTGAGAACATGGGTAAGAAGTTGGTCAACTCGCGCTCCGGCCCTCCGGAGTTTGAGAGGCCGAGCATGCCGTTGGCGACTCTCCTGGAGTACGGGCACCTCCTGGTCTCCGAGCAGGAGAACGTGAAGCGGGTGCAGCTTGCCGATACCTACCTTAACGAGGCGGCTCTTGGGAATGCCAATGCGGATGCTATTTCCCGGGGGACGTTCGATGGTGGCAGGACTCCCGCTCCTGCTCCCCCTGCTCCTGCTGCGCCCAGGGCTGCTGCTGCTCCGCCTGCTCGTGCCGCTGCGCCGGCAGCAGGGGGAGCGGCTGGGGGCGCGTCTGGGCTGGAGGGCAAGTCACTGGGGGAGCTGCGGGCGCTCGCCAGGCAGAGGGGCGTGCGGGGGGATACCAAGGCGGAGCTTATTAAGGCTCTTTCTACTGCCCCTGCTGCTGCTGCTGCTCCTGCTGCTGCTGCTCCCGCTGGCAACGGTGCTGCCAAGTAAGTTTTGGCTGTAAGATTACCAGGCATTGTGCTGTGTGATCCTCCGTGTGTCTTCCCTCCCCAACCCTTGCCTTCCTTCCTCCCTGTCCCATACTCCTTCCACCATGTGCCATAAGGTTGAGTGAACCCCTTCCTCACCATCCTTACCATTTTCCTCCGCTCGTCCCCTCTCTTGATCACCCACAGGGCGACGCCCATCGCAGCCTCATCGTTGGCGAACAAGACGCTGGGCGAGCTGAGGGCCCTGGCCCGCCAGAGGGGTGTGCGCGGTGATACCAAGGCCGAGCTCATCTCCCTGCTCTCCAAATAGGTGAGCTGCTGGGGATGGTGTTGTGGAATGAATGCATCTCGATTCCTGTGCTAGTTCGGTGTGCTCTCAAAGCTGAAATGGAATACATGTCAAGATTACAGTATGAGCCATCAGCCAGGGGCATCTGTCTGGAATTTTGTGCTTTATGTTTTTCCTTGTCGTTGGTAGTAATTGATTCTATGTGCCTTTCTCCATCTCTTCATCGTGCCTTGCAGGAACATGGCAGACATTCCACTTAATAAGTTGTCATTATCATGCTCCTAGTAAATTTTGTTTGCCTGCCCTGCTCTTTCCATGTCTTTTATGTCTGATTTGTGAAAAAAACCTGGTTGGGATTGGCCCACCTGATTCTTTCTTACCAACTTGTAATGAGGAAACCGTAGATATCTACATCCCCAAGTACCTGCATAATTTATTGAATGTTGCATCAAGAGATGGAACTGTTCACAAAGCTGGTGTGTGTCGTGTCACTATGTTTGTAATTTATGGATATGTTGTAAGGTACAGCAAAAATTTTGTCACTCTCCTTGTACCCCCCTCCCTTCCCTAGTTGACCATCATTCTCCCTTAAGTCTCTAACCTATTTAGTCTATGAGATGTCATCAGCTATCAGGGCCCAAGGCCTACCCTTACGAATCAGGGTTCCAGCCCCTCCTTAACCAGACCCCTAGGGTAAAAAAAATCGTACCCTGTTTGCAGCAGGGTAACTGAACCTGTAGCCTGATTTCGGCAAGATAGTTTTAGGCTAATCCTGTTTGGGCTTCTTGTCAGAGGTCCACTGGTGATCCCCGATTGATCCTAGGGAAGGGATACAGGCACGTTGGCATGGGGGGTTCTGGACGCACTTACCCGCTACACAAACAAGCCACTTTATCCCAGTGGTCTAGTGGCTGGGATTCTGACATGGTATCAGAGCGAAGGTCTCGGGTTCGAATCCCAGTGTGTGCACTTCGGGCATCCCAGTGCGGGGGGGTGTCAGAGGTCCACTGGTGATCCCCGATTGATCCTAGGGAAGGGTTACAGGCTACTTGTCCTGGGGGGTTATGGGCGCACTGACCCGCTACTTAACAAACCATTTTATCACAATGGTCTAGTGGTTGGGATTCTGACACTTCTGTTTCCAGAGATGTGTTATTTATACTGACATAATAAAGTAACACACACAAAATCTATGAAGTCTACAACAGCATCACACTCACAAGGAACCTACTCAGTGCCACCCCCACTGCCTACATCTTCTACAAACTGGGTCTCTGAAGCCATAGTGGCGTCAAACTCCTTGGTGGATCGCCTCAGCTTCTCCCCACGAAAGATGGCGACCACCTCAAACCAGTCGACCTCGTACCGCAGCAGGGAGCAACGCATCAGGTGCTCCAGGCTTGTGTCGCCTAGGCTGCCGCTCCCCAAGACTTGATCAGATTCTGCTTCGAGAAGCCACGCTCGCATTCAACCGTGCTCAATGGCAGCACGGCGACTGACTGCCACATCCGCATGATGTTGGGGAAGGACACACGCCAAGCATCGTCCCGCAGCATGTTCGTGAGCGCCTGATGGAACTCCTCGTTGTTGTGCTGGGAGAACATGGTGGATGTAAACATCCACAGCTCCTGTTGGGCTCTTTTGTAGTCGAACCCTGTGATGGGGCGGGGTTGGGGTGAAAGCTTGGCCGATGCTCGCAGACACGGGTAGGAATGGGGGGCATTAGTCCAACAAGCAACAGTCAGGAATACGTGCACAGGTCACCCTCGCAGCAGAATTCGTTGCGACAACACACATCAGAACATGTGCAATCGCTACACAAGGCTTACCTGGCAACTTGTGGTGGTACAACTTGTGCAGCTGCCCGAGCCACCTCTTGAATGTTTCCACGCACTTCGTGTCGTCGGCCACGTACGAAGCTGTGCGAAACAGCTTCGTACCTTCCAGCAGCTGCAGGTCGCTCATCCGCCACTCCAGCTCGGCGTCAATGGCGCGCACATACTTGATCGACAGCTCGACGCACGCCGTGACATCGCCATCCGTTTCATGTCCTGGGAGTGGCCGCTCGTGCAGCGTGAATTTAAAGGAGATGGGATTCCCATCCGCGTCTACGCCCTCCGCCTTCATCTCGCGCTTATCTGTCGCCTGGTGCCTCTGAATGAATTCTGGCAGCTGCATCTTGTCCCCGCTGCCGAAACTGTGGGCAAGGTCGCGGAGGGAATACCGCGTCTTCAGACGCATCCATGCACTCGGTCCGTGCTCTCGTCTAGGGAAATCCCTATCCACGGGGATTCCAGCAGGTGCTGACGCTGTGTCTCTTGGAGGTATGTTGAGAGGGCGCGCAGGTTTTCTTCGAATCCGTAACTGCCAGGAGAATAAAACGGTGGTCAAATCAGGTAGTGCATCAGAATGAATAAACAAGTTTCACCATCACATGCCTCAACTTACTCGGTGTAGTACGCGCCGTAGCCGCCGGAGGGAGGGAGGTCTGGTAACCCCTCCTTCGCCATAAACCAGCACAGCGGGACGAACATCGCGATGGGTGCGTCCGCCTTGCATACAAAGAGCGCGATGTGGAGGAGACGGATGAGGTGTCGGGTAGAAGCATCCGTGACCTGCCACCGAGTGAGTGTGGCCTGCTTGGCCTTCTCCGCCTCCGATTTCTCTTGATTCTCCACCGCCAGCTTGTGTGCACGGGTCGATGAGTGTGTGCGGATGCTGCCTATCTGGAGGTCCCGAGCACCCTCACCCTTCGCCCCATACGCGGTGTGCGCTAGTGGATCTCCGTGCTTCACACAAATGGCACACTTCAAAAAAGGACGGCCGTTAGACATGCGTAGCAAACGCAACCATTTGAAGCTACCTGTCCACTGAGCCTCAAATGTCTTCTTCACAAATTCGTACTCAGCATCCGCGAGCGCGGTGGGTGGCTTCGGATCGACCGAAGGAGCATGGCGTTTGTGTGACGCCGCGTTTCGGGGAGGAGGGGCGCCCCAGAGCGTCTGCTGCTTGTACGTCGCTCCCAGACGCGATCGCTTCCCGGGCGCGGTGCTGACAGTCGTAGGAGAAGCAGTAGGCGGCTTTGACGAGCCCTCGCCACCTCCGGGAACTAACTCTATGTCAGGGTGTGGCTCCCACGCCGTGTTCGAGTCTAGCGGCTCGAACGGATAAACCGTTCCTACCAGACATTCTGGTGACGGTTCACGAGGCGGTTGTGCGATGGGCACGGCGTAGTTCTCGCTAAGGCGTGGTAAAACGCGCAGCACGGAGAGGCCGTTTCTCGCGCTATCAGGTGGATCGGCCTCTCCAGTAGGCATTGTGGAGTTGAAAGTTGATGTTGGGTGACAATGAGGGACAAGCGAGAGACCCCCTCGTAGAGAACGAGCCTCTGGCAGCCTCGAAAGGGCCGTTTCTTCCACAGGGCGGGAAGTGCATGGCCAGCAGAGCAGGACAGGAGCTGTCCTTGACACCCATCTATGCTGTGATGGCGGTGGGCGTGGCTTCGTGTGCCTAGATTCAAGAATGCGTTGGCAGTCCTGCAGGAGGAACAACCAATGAGGCAACATGGAGTGTCGCCGACAACGAAGCAAGTTTTAATGCGCGTGGTCACAAGCGACAACACTGGTTTGTGGGGTTGTGGTACATTTTGTCACCACACGGAGTATGGTCAGGTTCGCGTTAGAAACGTTTCGGTAAAAGGATAGTCTACACCCTACCCTGATTTCGTCAGGCTAACCATAAAATCTATCAGTGTAAAAAAAAACATGCTCTTTATGGAGAAGGGTAACTATCTAGAAAGCCTGATTTCGTCAGGGTAATCCTGAAAAAACGGCCGGCCCCCAGGGTAATCAGGGCGTTTTAACCTGATATTTTGGGCCCTGTCAGCTATATGTCCTTCCTCTCCTAGAAAAGCGTCCCATAACGTGCCCCGTCATATCACGCCCCATAGCCCGCCCCGTACCGCACGCCCCATAGCACGCCCTGCCCTGTCATGCCCCGTAGCACGCTCCGTACCGCGCACGCTGCCGTGCACGCGACCAGCAGCGTTCAGCCGCGCACGCGCTAGCGCACGCTCGCAGCCGCTCGAGCGTTGCCGCACATGCGTTGCTGCTCGCGTATCAGCAGCCACACGCGCACCAGCGAGTGCACGTGCGGCATCAGCAGCGCGCACAGCAGCAGTCACGCGCACAGGCGCTCGCACAGCAAACCGCAACACGCCCTGCCTGCCTGCGTAGCAGCACACACTTTAGGGGCTGCTGCACGCGCGCTTAGGTGTAGCCACACGCGCGCTTAGGTGCATCTACATGCGCGCTTAGCAGCTGCTGCTCACGCACTTATCTGCTGCCGCCCGCGCCCATAGCAGCAGCCATACGTGCTAGCAGTTGCGCGCACCGCACCGCTGCCCGCACAACTGCGGCCCCGCGTACTGCAGCTGCAGCATTTCGCGCTGCTCCGCCCTGTCCCTTCCCAAGCAACTGCTATGCCTCGTCCCGTCCCCATTTCGCGTAGCTCCGCACACGCGACAGCAGCCACGTGCACAGCTGCCGCGAGGGCAGCAGCAGCCCGCAGCCCCTCCTTTCTCACGCCCCGCGGCCCCTCGTTTCTCACGCCCCGCGGCCCCTCGTTTCTCACGCCCCTCGGCCCCTCGTTTATCAAACAACATGCCTGATGTAGTCGCCATGTACTTCGCCACCCTCACAGCATCCGTCCAGTGAACACGACGGTGTCTCGTAGTCGCAACAAAGTAAGACAGGACCCTGAGGGGGGAAGCGAGGTCCGGACGAGTACAAGTCATCAGGTACATGAGACAGCCGGCAAGCTCTGCATAGGGACTGGTCTCAAAGGGCTCGTCGGAAAAAAGGGTCGGTGAGTCTGTAGTCGACGGAAAGAGAGAGGGTTGTGTGGTGGAGAACTGGAATCCGAACCGCAAAAGGACCTGCTGCACCATGTGTGACTGAGATAGTGTAATGGTGCGAGCGGCTCTGTCCCTGGTGGTCTGCAAGCCAAGGTAGCGGCGCAGCTTACCCAAGTGCACGTGTATCTCTTATGCAACTCGAATTTCACCTCTGCCAGAGCGACCCTGTTTGGTGTAGCGAAGACCAGATCGTCGACGTACGCAAGAACGAAGTACGGAATGGAACTAGTGCGAACAAACAGCGACGGGCCGGCGGATGAAGGTGTCAGAATGAGAAGTGGTTGAACTAGGAAGATAGGGAGTACAAGTATGAAACCCTAGAAGTTGTACCCCCTAAGGCTAAACCCACTACAGCCTACAGAACACAAACATGTACAATGTTTGACACACCCCCATAGGCAAAGTGGGAGACAACCAGATGGTCACAAGACCACTCAAAGCAAAGCAAGGCAAAGCACAGCTCAGGGTGGATCTCAAGGATACCACACAAATTCCGAGCACAAGCAAGCGGTCACAAGACCAGTTCACATGCAGTTTGATAATATAACAAGAGGTACAGTGATCACAACTAGCAAGTGTAAGCATGCAGGTCAGGAAGGCACAAGGCCTAGAACAGTACAGAAACGCTGATGATCACAAGGCTGAAGCGCCTTGGTGAACACATCAGCAGTGTTGGCCCGAGTGGCCACGTAGGCAAGACGAAGCTGACCACGCTGCTGCAACTCTCGAGCAAGGAAGTAACGCAGAGCGATGTGCTTCGTTCTGTGCTCCAGTCTGTGCTCCTGACACAAGGCAATGGCGGCCTTGTTGTCGACGTACAGCACTGGAGGAGAACGAGGCCGCTCTCCCAGGTCGGTCAGCAGGTAGGTGAGCCAGCGTAACTCCTGTGCAGCCATGGCTGTGGCGTAGATCTCAGCCTCACAACTGGAGCTGAGAACTGAAGACGAGCGTGTAGAACGCCAAGAAACTGAACCAGAGCCAAGGCTGAAGGTGTAACCCTGAGACGATCGCTGCGTAGCCTGGTCGTCAACCCAAGAAGCGTCTGAGTGCCCAGTGAGGACAACGTCTCTCCGTCCTCCAAGCACAAGCCCCATGCCCGACGTACTGCACAAGTAGCGCAACACCCTCTTAGCGGCATCCATGTGCTCCTTCCGGTGACGGCCAGGAGCGACATAGCGTGCTAGGATGCTAAGAGGGTATGCAAGGTCAGGTCGAGTGCAGGTCATCAGGTACATGAGGCAGCCCACAAGCTCTGGATACGGGCCACTCGGCTCTACGGACTCATCCTAAGGCAGAGCTGAGAGCAAGTGACCGATAGGCAGAGGAGTGGGCTGAGGCGAGGAGTACGTGAAGCGGAAGCGCTGAAGGACCTGCTGCACCATGTGTGACTGAGTCAAGGTGATGGTGCGCTGTGCTCTGTCCCGGGTGACCCGCAAGCCAAGATAGCTTGTCAGCTCACCCAGGTCTGTGCACGTGTGTCTCTTCTGCAGCTCCGACTTCACGTGGGCGAGTGCCTCAGTGTCAGCAGTAGCAAAGACCAAGTCGTCTACGTACACGAGAACGTAGAACGGCGGCAGAGTGGTGTCGGTGCGTAGAAACAGCGACGGGTCAGCAGTAGAAGTAGCAAACCCAAGAGCAGCAAGACTAGTCCTCAGTGTGTCGTGCCACTCACGGGGTGCCTGGCGGAGACTGTAGACTGGCCGCCGGAGGCTCCACTGGGTACCAGCAGGGAACAACCCAGTGAAGCCAGGTGGGCGGCGCAGCCAGATCTCCTCGTGCAGGCTGCCCTGTAGGAAAGCAGTGCTGAAGTCAAGAGAGTGGAGCTCGTAGTCACGCTGAGCGGCGACGTGCAGCAGAACCCGAAGAGTGGTCATCTTCGGGGTCGGGGAGAAGGTCTGGAAGAAGTCAACTCCCTCTCGTTGACTGAAGCCTCGTGCAACGTAACGCGCCTTGAAGACAGGCGGAGAACCCGACGGCCGCTTCACCCTGAAAATCCACATGCCACTGACGATGTTCGCCCCAGGTGGGGGAACCTCGTTGACGTAGGTGCCTGTGGACTTCCAAGAAGCCATCTCTGCGTCCATGGCTGTCTGCCACTGAGAGGAGTAGGGACCCTCTATCGCCTCTATGTAAGAGTGCGGGGTCGGGATGCCTGGTGCATCCGGGTCTCCCTCAGGGGCAATCAGCATGGACACGGGATGAGGTAAAGCAGCGGCAAAGCACTCAAACTCCTCCTGTCTGTCCTCAAGGACGTCCGTGCCAAGAGCACACTCACCCCCGACGGACGGAGGACAGACAGACTCAGACTCAGCAACAAGGCTAGCGGCGTAGTCTAGATGACAGGCGGCAGCAAAGTCAACAAGCTCAGCAACTAGAGCAGACGCAGCAGTGGACTCAAAGGAAGGGTCAGTGACAATAGTAGCGAGAAGACGCGTGACAGTAGGACTGGCAGCACGAGCAAGGTCTGACGGCGGGTCAGCAACGTCAGGAAGAGAGGACGCAGGAGGAGACGGCAGAGGGACACGCTGTGGGGCAGTGGAAGGACGCAGAGTCATATAGTGAGTGCCAAGTACAGGAGGAGGACGCTGACGTGGAGCACGACGACCAGCGCGGACAGCGCGAACAGGCGACTCTGGACGAGACTCAGGCGACTCAGGACGAGACTCAGGTGACGCAGGACGAGACTCAGGCTCATGACGCTCCGTAAGACCTCTAGTCGGCCCAGCGTAAGGAGAAGGACCAGGCAGCGGAGAGGCAAGCGGTAACTGTGACTGCGACTGGACAGGTGGTGGACTCAGTAGGGGAGGAGAAAGAACAGTGGAGGGCGGGAGTCCAAGAACCTGCTGAAGGAGCGGAACGTAGTACGGCCGCGGCCGCTCAGCACCTCCTGAACCAGCAGAGACAGCACCAGCACCCTCAGCCCCAGGGTCTCCAGCTACAACTCCCGCAGCACCACCAGTAACCCCAGCAGCTCCAGTACCTCCAGCTCCAACCCCCGCAGCAGCTCCAGTCCCAGCAGCTCCAGTACCTCCAGTACGAGCACCTCTAGAACCAGCGGCTCCAGCAGCTCCAGCACCAGCAGTACCTCCAGTAGCTCCAGCACCAGCAGCACCTCCAGTACCAGCAGTGCCTCCAGCAGCTCCAGCACCAGCAGCACCTCCAGCAGCACCACCAGCAGCTCCTGCACCAGCAGCACCAGCACCAGCAGCAGCTCCAGCTCCAGGGTCCGCTGCACCAGCAGCAGCTCCAGCTCCAGGGTCCAAAGCACCAGTAGCGCCACTCCGGAGACTGCAGCGCCGAGCGTACCACTCTCGGAGCCGCTGGGGAGAGGGCGGCTCCCGCCTAGGCGGGGAACCACGAGCACCAGCTCCCGCAGCACCCCTAGCCCCAGAAGCGCCACTC